GATGTTTTGTTGAACTTGCCGCAAGCGGCAAACAATAACAAAATCATCAAGACATACAGCTAGCCGTAGACTCATACAGAATGCCAAGAAAACAACGTAGTTACCAACAAAAATTACGCGGTCGCAGACCCACAAAAATCAAACGTGACTTAGGGTTAAAAAGCATGTGTGTTTGTGGGTATCAACTTCATTGGCACGAATCATCTGCTGGGGGATTTTTCATAGTCATTTTAATATCAGGCACATAACTCTTAGAACTAGTTTTTCTTTGGTTATGAGTAGAAGGTCTAGACCCCCTTCCCTTCATCCAAAACCCTTTTAGGCAAGGCTACGATTGCCCAAGAGCACCCAACAAATATTTTAACAATTGGCCAAGGCATCAAGTGGATTTCTTTTGATTTTGTCTAAGGTTGCTTCTTTGTTTGTTCTGTTCGATTTTTATCAAGTATACGCCTCATAGTTCTCTTATCAGTTGGTCGAACCAAAACAAGATCATGGAATGCCGTTTGCAGCTTAGCCAATTGGCCAGATTACATGGGCTTTGGTCGAGCTATTTATTTGAAAGGCGGTGGGAGTTTTAAGCTAATCGTAAATCATATTGATGTATGGATTGCGAATAAGGAAGTTAAGTTTAAGTCACAAACTAAACCAATAGACTTAAAAATGCATTAAACAGGAGTTATTGTTCGGTAAATTTTTGCTTAAAATGTAAAAATCTTAAGAACGAAGGTTGAAGCTTAAAGATAACTCAAAGAATTTGCAAACATGCATTTTAAAAAGCTTGCAATGATTAGCTGCTTTGGAAATCTAAAATTAAATTTTCAAGGCTTTTTAGAACTTTAAACTTCCGCACTCGTTATGTTTGAATTTTAAAGAAAACAATAAAGATTTCGATATTTACTACTTGTACTACATAATTGTTAATCAAAGATAAGAAGTGATGTTATTTATGAATGTTTCATATTAAATTTGTAAAATGAAAACAATTGGATTTCGAAATATATTATTATTTAAACCTTTTTATTTTTAATTGCTTAAAACAAAAACATAATAAGAAGTAAATTTGTTTTAGTATTAAATGAGCCTGAATTTCATAGAAATTTATTTTCTTAGTATATAGAATAATTTTAGTATAGATGAAAAAGAAGAGTTTTTAAGGTTTTCTTTTATCTTTTGTCTCAGAATAAGAGAGATAAGAAGTGCGCATATCTTTACAAAATTTTTAATTATTTCAGAGTGGTTTTTCTTAAAGTAAACTGCACCTTTTTTTTGTCACTTTAAAAGATCTTTACTAACACCTTCTTAATATCCAAAACAGCTGTCATCATGATTCGCTATTTATGATTCCTATTTATCGCTTTATTTTAGAAACTAAAATTAAGCAGCCGCAATAGTTAAAAAAAAGGCAAGAAAAGCGAGTACTTGGGCACAACTACGCCGGCAACTAGTAAGTGTCGAATGGACATGTATGTGCGTGTGTGTGTGAGTGCGGGCATAGACAACGATACCTAGTATATATTTTGAATGGTGCGCTTTGTATCGGCCTCCGAATGTGTCTAGAGCTTCAATAGCAGGCCAGGGTCATGCGACATGGGAGGAAAAACTGAACTGAACTGACGCGAAACTGAGCGAACTCGGGCGATTGTATCTGTGTGTGCGGGTCTATTGATATTCGAGGGTTTGATAGTATATGTGTGTGTGTGCTGTGTACGTAGTGCCCGTTATCGGAAGAAAACGCCAAAAGCTCGCGTTCATTGCCTTTGCAAACGATTTTGACTCAACCCCTCTCACACTCTCTCTCTCTTTATTTGCCCTACCTCATTGGCTATTTATCTCTTAGATACTTTTTTGAAAGAACTTGATATTATAAAATATTTAAATTCTTATTGCCAAAACATAGATATATGTTTATCTGATGGGAACCCATCCACTTTTAATTTGACGATAGAGAAGCTAACGAGAGAACTTTCTTATCGACGGTGGGACTCAGGGCTATCTGCTTTGTTTGGCAAATCCCATTTAGATTTTTATTTCTTCCACTTTTTTTTCATTTTACTTGTTTTGGTTTCATTTTTGGTAAATGGGAATGGGACTGGGGGAATGGCAATGTTTGGTGAGGTTGGTCAGTGATTCTGTGTTGCTCGGCGGCAAATGGAATAAATTTTAGGAAGTGTACGTATTTTCAGGGCCCTCAGGTCAGGCAGCATTATTTATTGGCCCCTTCGAAGGCCGATCGGCTAACTTTGACTTGCAAATCTCTATAACTTTTTCGTATCTTATTTTGTGGCCAACAAATGAAGCCGAAGAAAAACGAAACTGATTGACATGTTGCAGCCATAAAAAAATATATAAAATAGCAAAATATAATTTATTTGCTGTGGCTGGCGCTTTTATTGATCGCTTCTTCACTTTGGATCGAATTCTGTTAATTGGTTAAAACCCAAACTGAACTCTTAACTGGGCCAGCAGCGCGCTTGGCCTGTGAAATTCTAGAAGGGCGAGCATTAATCCGAAAATCAAAAAGTTTTCTTTACAAATTGAAATTCAGCAAGTTTGATAGTTTTTTTTTTGCCTTGATTTAGGGATTAGTCATGGCTGTATGGAAAATAAATACAAGTGAAGAAGCAAAATGTTGGATAACCGAAAAATGATTTCATTTATTGCAAATTTAGTTGAAAATAATTTGCGTAAAAAGATGGATTTCTTTATTAATACAAACAAAAAAATCCAACCATCACGCCAACCATGGTGATATGACCGGATATTGCGTTACTAAAAATAAATGAGAAATCTAGAAAATTAACAGAGATATAACCCTTAAGTATAATTTTAATTATTATTCTTTCAAATAAGCACCGAAAAAGGTCTTAAATTTTCTAAGATGACATGACATTACATAATTTAAAATTTAAATACATTTTTTAATAGTTATTATTAAATTTTGTTTCTAACTCGCCATTATTAACCAAAAAATGATGTTTAAGTATTTTTAGATCTATTTATGTAATGCAGTTTTCTAAATAAGCAAGCGTTTCGGACATTTTCTTTTCAAAACATGTCAAATACTCGATATGTTAACAAAGAAAAGCTTTCAATTGTATTTCTATAATATATTTTATGTATTCCACAAAGTTCTGCAGCAGATATAAGTAACTTTTAACTTTGGATTAATCTACTGAAAACCACATTTTAAGCCCCTTTCTCAACGTGATCTCTAAAAATCCTCCATAAATTTCCAACATTTTCATGAACTTTCAAGTATGCAGCTATATAATGCGTCTATGTGCAATATATGTATGTTTGTGCACCGATGACGAAATGAATAGAGAGCTTTTTTTGCGCTATTCGCTTCCTGCATTCGAGGCAACTCCGCAGCCGCTGCCGCTGCGAATGCAACGCTGCGTATGAGCGATCTGCTAACCGAAAGGAAACTTCAAGCTTCTGGAACTAACCACTTACCATCTCAAGCAAAAGTAATCCAATTGGCGATATATCCATTATGTTTCAGCAGCAGCAGAGAAAATATGAAAAATACTTTAGTGTTTCAAGTTTACTTTGATCAGTTATTTTTGCGATTTTTCAATTATTATTCTAAAATTGTTGTGTAAATATTTATAAACTTTCAGGCACTTGTTTTGGGAGGGCGGAGGGGCGTGATCAGGGGATTTGGGGGCGGTCAAATGCCGACCAAAGGCTGTAAGTTGCCACCAGATATGAAATTTGGTTTAATTAATTGGCATTTTAATCATATTTAAGGCCACTTAAACAGCGAGATTTTTCCTTGTTGTTGTTTCAGAACTCTTTGTAACGCATTTTATATGTTTGATATTTTAGGATTGCACTTTTGATCGGTTGCAAATCGTTTAATTAGCGACGCGACGCGACGACGGCAACGACGACGACGACGGTGGGCGGGAAAATGAGCGGGCGGGCGGTCTGACGGTTGGCGCGAGCACTGCAGTTACAGTTACGTTTGAACAATTGATTTTTTGTTGCTGCTATTTTGTTTTGTTTTTATGTTGTTGTTGTTGTTTTGTGTGTTTGAAAAGCGAAGGTTTTCCTCTTTAAATTCGAATCGCTCGAATTTCAGTTGAGGGCGAAAATTTGCGACTGTCCGTTACAGCTGTCAAAAGACAACTAAGCGAACGCTTTATTTTTGCACACAGGCACTTCGCTGCACTGAGTCGCGCTCACGCACACCATCGCACATCGGCGCACACGCACTCACACCAGCACATGAAAGCAACGGCAGAGAAACACGCGCGCGCTCAAGTTCACGCTCTGAACTTCAAAGCTCAGTTACCTTCGTTTAACGAGCAAAGAGAGCGTCAGTATTCATCAGTGTGGGTGAGAGCGAGGCTAAGAGAGCGCCAAGTGCAATTGCAATTGCAATGAGGGAGACCCAAAGAGATCTGCTAAAGGAACTACAGTGCATCCCCAATATAAATATTAAGAAACTAATTTTGTATAGCCTCCGTTTGGAACAATATTGACTTTAGTTTTTCAAGGCGAAATATGTAATTATAGTTAAAAAGAGTTTTAAAAAAAATAATAGGCAAAGGCGAATTTACTAACTTTAATATTTCAAAATATGTATTTATTAACATAGCAGCTTATAGAAAACACCTGCCAGCCACTGATAAAAACAAAATTATTAACTAAACCAAAATTAAAATATATATTCGTTGATTATTTCTCTTATTTTTTTTTTTGCTTATCAAAAGTGAATCACAATTATTGTGGTCTAGGCGAAAGAATGTCTGGTTCTGTAAAATTTTAGTGATAAATCAAATAATGCTAATATTTTTGAAGCTCGCTTTGAAAAGATGGTATCAAAATGTGGGCTATCAGCATTTTGGGGGTTTGCTAAATAAGAATATCTTTTTAAGGACAATTTAAAACTCAAGTAAAATGTTTATATTAAAACTAACAAACAAGAATACATTAATTATTTTTGCTGTAACTTCATTTTGCCAATTGAAAAAATAAGCAAGTTTCACTATATATTAATGTTGCGCGATTTTTTAACCGGCTATTTATTGAAAAAAACAAAATGGGTACAAAAGTGTGGTTTGAGAGGAAATCTTTGATGGCTCCATTACACATATAAAATATACAAAGCGTGCCCAAAGTTCAACAAAGGATGCAGAATGGAAACCTGAGAGCTGGCAGCTCCTTGCCTATGTGGTCTTCAGCGAAGTGGGAATCTTGGGCAAGCCAAATTCATCCGTTTCAATAGTGCTCTGTATGGGATTAAAAAATGAATTAAATGATATAGGTTAATTACCCCTATAAGGGACTGTTTACCTTTCCAGGCACGATGCTATCGGCTCCTGGCTCTCGACTCGGCGCCTCTGGAGCCTTGACCACGTCATCCAAATAGCTGGTGTCATCGTCCAGGGCAATCTCGTCACCCAGGGCATCCAACTCGGCCTGCAGGTCGTCGTCATCCACTTCGGGCATTCCGTAGGTTCGACCCAGTGCCTCTTGCACTTCGTCCGCCTGTTCGAACATATCGGCCATGTCGTCTTGGATGTCCTTTAAAACAAGAGAAGTAATTAAATTTTCATTTTCTTTGAATTTCTTATATACTAAACGTTAACCATTTTTAGTATCTTAATACTTTTTAAAGTTTAGATCTACTTATTTTTGGATTTTACTTATACCTACATAAAAAATGATCAAAAATATTACATCAACGGCAATTATTAAAATTTTTGGTAGAAAATTAAAGCTTTCAAGAAGCTCTTATTGTTAATGTCATTCTTAGATAGGTACAGAATCAAAAATTTGGAATTGGGTTTGGAAATAACCTATTACAAAAGTTTAAGATCTTGTCGTATTTCGTAGGAGTTATAAAATCCTATCGATAAGTGGGCTCACCTCGATTTGATCGATGTTGATCTTCTTGTACTCGGTCTTCATCTGCTTGACACCGTCCTTCATTGCCGCAACTGTGGCCTGAGTATCCTTCAAGGATTGCGCCGCATAGTTGGCCTGTTCCATGTTGAACGACTGGTTGCGCAGAGATTCTGCCTGCTGTTCGTAGCTATAATAAACGATAAGTTAAGGAGTATATTTAGCATTACTTTTTAGAATGATATTTAAACTAAGCTGGTTAAGGAGACAACATATTTTCGTAAAGTTTTAGTATCTTAATATAGTGATAGTGAAATTTAGACTTATAAAAATGAATTAGTATAAAATACACGTTTAAGGACTTGAAAGAAAATGACGGTTGGTAAATGAATATACATTTTAAAAATGTTATGAAGATGTTAGGATGAAGAATAAAAATCCCAAGATATTAATATAAGGGTGTGAAAACTGAGGTCTAATAACGAATCAATAAGGGCACCCTGGGTGGGGCTTAAACCTACGCCTTCTTTTGTTTGAGCACCCTAAGAGCCTTTTGCTTTACAGAGTTCTTTGCAGGTCCATCCCGCATCTTGGACATTTGTTCGCGATATTTGCGCAGTTCCGCCTCTAATTTATTGATCTTCTCCTCGATGTTTGTGGCACGGGCATCTACCTATTGGTTATAATAAAATCATCTATCAATATCTGCTTTATTTTTTCCATGTTTTTTTTGCTTACCCCTGCTATGCAGTCGTTTAGACTTGGACCCGGTTCCTTGGGCTTTCCACGACCAAAAAGGCGATTCATTTTAATTTGTTTTCAAACTTTAAAAACAAAACTTGATCGAAAATTTACGGACTTTCCAGTTAATTTCGTTTTAGGATTTTTGTTTGATGACTAATTGTCTTCTTCTTTTTAGACACCAATCAGCTGTTCTTGGTTAGTGATGCCCATGTCCCACCGATACGTTAGTCAACACTGTTTAACGTTTACCTAATCCGGTCATACTTTAAAATTCCTCCTCTTTGCCATTTTAAAAATTTTTTTTATTATTATTAAAACTTTAAATATTATGTAAGTCTATCAGAAAAGAAAAAAAAATAATAATTCATAAAATATAAACATAATATTTTTCACCGTTTGTATTTTTGAATTTAACGTTTATCAGCTCGCACTGCTTTAATAAATACCTCTTGCCTATTTTAGTACCTTTTTTTCTGACAGGTGGTTTATTTCAACAGCTACGCGTCGGTCCTACCATTCGCATTGCAAATTAAAAACAAAACGCATCGGCGGGCGCTTTGAGCTCTTCACTAACTTAATTTCCGCTAATTAAACACTCGGTTTAATTCCCGAAAATAAGTGCCGCGAATTTAAAAACCAGAAATGAGTCGTTCGAACAGATGAAAGTGAAATTAGCCTGTCGGGCCTAGCGATTTTCTACCATTTTCTGCAATAGAAAAGAAAGAGTGCTAAAAATAAAACAAAAACAATAAAATTGGCAAGGCTTTGGCAAACAAAACTGCGTAAATAAGGCAGTTAAATAATAGATCAAAATCTTCGCGGAGAGTAAAAAAAAGCAAAAATTCAATAAATCCGCAGCCGTGGCCCATTGACGTCACAACGCATCAGCTGTTTGGCTAACGGAGCACCCTGCCTTTTTTCGCTATGACGTGCAGAGTGGGCGGAATAAAAGTTAACACCCACGCTTGAAATTACTCCCAATCAATCCACAAATGGATAGCTCCATGTATTATGCCAAGCAGCAAATTGCGGCCAGCACAGAAGCTAATGTCAGGGTCATCGCAACGACCATGGCCTCATCTTTGGCTAATGGAACTGTAGCACCACGCGCCGACGATGGAGGCGTCTCCATGAACAACTTTTATCCGGCGTTGGTTCAATGTTTCGGCATCATCATTTGCGGGTTAGTAGTTAGTGTAGGAGATTACTTAGTACCTAGATAATTGGGCCACACGTCCTCTTTGATTAGATTAACCATTGGTTTTACGCCATATGCCACGCTGGTCTTCACCCCTAGCGTCCACAGTGCTCCTTTGTTCGATTTAGGTACAGACAAACCACCCTGGATTTTCACTTTACTTTACATTTTGATTTCCAATGATGGTCTCATATTGGAAATCTTTCGATATTATAAGTCGATTAATAACTGCACATTCGGGTATACTTTCGAATGATTTTAGGAACAGGATCTCATTATTTAGGTCATATAATAAAATATAATACATAAGTACGACTTTAAACAATTGTATAACTTTCTATTAAAAAAAAACGTTAGGACTGAAACAGTATGAAAGAGAAATAAATAAAGGTAAGTTATTAGGACCGTTCTGAAAGTTTCTAATTAATTCCGCAAATACGTATTTTTCCATCGATTCCATTTAATCAAACTGCTAACTGGAGTTTTTGGTTTGCTTAAACTACACTTTTGTAGCTGCAACAATTTATTGACAAATGTTGTTTGAGTAATAAAGTAAATCATAAACTTGTCACATCCCATGCAGGGTCCAAAACTCAAACCTAGATCACCTCCTTATCGCTATGATTACGGGGTACGTGTGGCAAAAGAAAGTTGTTCAGAGAAACACTTGCTGGTACAGTGACCAGCACTTATGTCGTATACCGTCTCAGTTCGATATCAATTTCTCTGATTTGTTTTCCCCCACTTATCAATTGGCACTCGAATTTTATATATACTCTGCAAATTGCTGTCTCACTGTCTGTGCGTACTCAGACTCAATTGTTGGCTTTATTAAACAAACTTAGCAATTATCTTAAATCAGCTAAATTAATTTTTGTTATTTTTAGAAATATAATAGTAGATTTATGTGGGTTAAATTTGGCGTGTCAGCGAGAGATAGCTGCTTGAAAGGCAATAAAAAATGGTGATATCGGTTATGTTATAAATTATTTAAAATGTCTAGAATACCCAAAATCATAGTTAAGATCGTAATTCAACCTTTCTCAAGTATCCAAATTCCTTTGATTTGTAATTCTTGTTTTATTTAATTTATGCTGCTGTTCTTGTGTATAATTGCGGATGCATTGTGAAAAAATGTTATGCTTAATTTGATGACGGTTGTAAAAGGGTTATTTAAATTACAAAAATACCGATTAGTCATTGCAAGTCGGTAACTGATATTGATTGATCATTCACCTGCAAAATCCGAACTCTTTAAACCTTTTGTTCCGGCTATTTGTTGGGGAATTTCTTTGTTTCCGTTAGCTGCATTATTTCCCAATGTTTACACATCTATTACTAGCAATTATAATTAAAAGCGAATTCATAAATCTGAACTAATTCCCGCCGCTCGTGGCATTTTTCCCGTGAAATTGCCGTGAAGCCTCTATTAAGTTTGACATACAAAAAATTGCTCAATAACAATAGGGAGCGGCGCAAAATGTACATATGTAAATTTCCTAGCTCCCATATCAATCTTTATATATGCATCTGAGCCGAAACTTAATTGCCAGTGGGCAATAATCGAAAGTAAATCGTTTAGAGAGTGCGAGAAAAATCGTTAAAAAAAATCAACAAAACAATTACAAAAATGACCTTGCAAAACAGTGTTTAGCATTAAAGCTTGTAAACAGTATCAAGCCACTCCACCTGAGGCAATATTTGCCCAGTACTTTTATGGATTATGTAACCGCAATTACCGATTTGTCTACCGACCACTGCCAATTACTGACGATATGCATGCCCAGACAAAGACCAACTGGCAGATGCACCTCCTGCAACTGTTCAATCAAACAATTACAGATACCGCCTATACAGTCTCGAATACACAGTTGGCTACGATTATATATTACTTAACTGTTCTCTCGCCGCGTTCGTTGGCATCTGACTTTAGAATTTAGTACTTAAATTGGAATCTCAACTGTACAGATACCCTCGATTCAGTCTTTGTATTTCCCCCTGATTATAACCTAGTATTTACATTTAAAATGTAGCATTTACGTCTCTGTTTTTTATAACTTTAAAACATTGACATATCATAATGTATCTTCCAGTTTTTAAGGCCAAACGTCATAGTTTTAGTATACATTATTCCTAGATAAGCTAAACAAGATTCTATATTTTCTTAGTAAACAAATCTTTAAATCATCCAGAAACCTATATAATTCACAAGCCCATCACAAACATCTCATTAAAAATAAAATATATCTTTCTTAGCACTCAGTCATTATAGGGTAGCTGAAAAATACACATGATTTCCAGTTTAAGTGCTGCCCGTAATGCAATTAAATTTTATGACTGTTATCAGATTGAAATTATATTTAATCATTTATTTGATGAATCTTTGTCGTTAGTGTGGTGAATGTGAGAATTTGATCGACTTGTTATAGACCTTTTTTCTTTATGATATAGGGTGGGAATAACCTGATAAGCGCTACCAGTAATTACGGGGAAATAAACACCTTAGATTGTTATGGTTTTGATTGTAGTTATAGTACGAATGCATTGATCCCATGCATAGTATATGCAAACCGTTCTAATCTAGGCATTCGCAGCTGTTTCTTTATCGGACTCTAGACGAGAGTTGCCCAACAGGTCGTATGACAAAATGAACCAATACTTTGTTTGGGCACGTAAACTGAATATTTCCGTGCGGATCCTAACAGTCGACTACTAAAGGCTCAAATTCTTTCTGAGAAGTATATAAATGTTTTTACTAGGTTGACTAATTTCGGTTTTGTTCCTCTCGACTGGCTTTCTAGAACACTTGTTTTGCTCAACAGATAAATGAGTAAGGTAAATAATGAAAAAATTGTTGACTCTTTCTGTTTAGCTTTGCAATTTGTTTATAAAGTCGGTGAGTATAACTTATTGTTATGAAAAATTAAAGAAACACTTGTTTTGGCTTGTATTTCTCAGACCCAAAGACACATTTATATAAACCCTATAAGAAAGTTTCTTTCATTAAGACTTACAAAACTTATCCAAGCTATAAAAAGAATGGCAAGAAAACGTATTTTTAAAACGCATACAAGATTTATACTATACGATTATTATTATAGGTAGCCCTTCAACTAGTTCTTCCATATTCCTAAAAGCTTACAAACATATCTGTATTTCTTTCTTGACCATTTTCCCGCTTTCCAATAGGCACATTTTCTTATCAGTCATGTCGTGTAAGCTTGGAAAGACTAAACAAAACATAGATAATGTTCACAAATGTTTGACATTCCTAAGAAAAAGAAATCTCACGAATAAATATACAAATGACACATACATAGAACTGCAAAAAAAATCCAGAAGCTGAGCTCTGCCAATAATATCAATAAAATATTCTTTGAAAGATAAGAGATTTCTTAGGTACTTCCCGACAATAAAACCCACAACATCTGCTATAAATCCCATGTGATTGCAATAAATTGCGTTGAGTTATAAGGAAAGGTCGCTAAACTAGTTCGTAAGGCTGGGGAAGTACTCCCTACTCCAGATTACCAGACAAATTAATTTGTCTCGACGAAGTGTGACAGAAATACAAATACTTGATAAAAATAACAATAACAACAAAAAAACGTTTACAAAACTTTGTTAGCCAAGAGACAGACCGAAATAAAACTGGTTTACGAGGGGATCACGTGTGGCTCTGGTGCTTGTTTTTTATATGCATGTAGTACATACTGTACTAACATATTGATTAAGAGTTTCCGCCTTTCCGGCTTGCTGGGTTATTAGCATTATAAATAAACACCTTTTTGGTGAGGGGGCGTGGTCGGACACACCTTTACAACCTGATTACTGGTGTAATGTTTTGCTTTTACTTACTCCTTGCTTGCAGTTACATTGCCGGACGTTTCAAGATTATCAGCAATGCGGAAACCAAGGGTCTGGGCACATTCGTGGGCACCTTCGCTCTGCCCTCGCTGATCTTCCTGTCATTGGTGGAGCTTAACTGGAGTGCTGTCAACTGGAGCTTTCTCCTGGCCATGCTCGTCTCCAAGGCAGTAGTCTTCTTCGCCGTTCTAATCATATCATTGCTGGTTGCCAGGCCCCTGAACTATGCGCGCGGTGGATTGATGGCCATTTTCTGTACCCAGAGTAATGACTTTGCCATTGGCTATCCCATAGGTGAGTTATAGAGGAGATAGTAGATTATAAATTAATATATCAAGTTATAAAATCTTTTCAAGCATTTAGAAGCTACATTTTTCTAAAAACAGAACAAATAGTCTGTGAGGCTAGACAAATAAAAACGTTTATTCTATTTCAAAATAAACGAAATAAAAGTCAGTTCTAGCACTCTCTAGCCATCTTTGAATCAATCTTTATAAATGTAATGAGAATTTATAGTATAGAGATATAAACATATCGCAAAGAGACCTATTTTAAGTTTTAGTTTTAACAAGTCACGCGTAACATTATAGCAAATGCTAAACAAAATCAAACTGAGACAACAAAAATTAAGCCTTGACACGATATGGATAAATTTCTAAGAATTATGAATGCCAACGTTCGAGTTGATAAACCTATAAATTCAAATTAATACAACTTGAACCAGTTTATATTAGCTTTTGAGTCAAAACATCATTAACAAGCCAAGGAAGTTTCATTTAAAATATTTTTCAAATTTTAATTTATACACTATTCCACTTAATTATTGTTTTATTCTCCTGTAGTTATGGCTCTTTACAAGGATGTGCATCCGGAATATGCCTCTTACCTGTATTTGATGGCTCCGATCTCACTGGCCATTCTGAATCCAGTTGGTCTGGTGCTCATGGAGATCTCGAAGATTATCAAAAACAAGGAGGATGTGGTTAGTATTTGATTATTGTTTTCTATAACTGCGAAACTACTCATAACTTACCTTCTACAGACCCGCAATCCACCATTGTGTCCAGAAACCTGCCCCGCAGAACAGATGGCCAAACGAAATCGCTGTCTGGGCGAACGATCTATTCTTGTTTTCAACACCCTTGTTGCCCTGTTCTTCAACCCCTTGCTCTTGATGACCTTGCTAGGTGTTGCAGGAGGTTTCCTGTTTCCAACTGGTCTGCCCGAAATGGTGTCCAGTACTTTGCGCGTCCTTGGTCAGAGCTTCTCGGCAACAGCTTTATTCTTACTTGGTCTGAAGATTGTAGGAGGCACAGGATCGGAACGAAAGAGCACAGGGTTCCTATTACCTGGTGTGCTAATACTTGTTAAAATGTATGTAAACATTTATTTATTCAGTAGATCAACATATTTACTCTCCTATCACAGATTGGTGCTGCCTTTGGTCATCCGGCAGACAGTTAACATTATGCAGTCTGGCCAGAACTTCAACGACACAACCGAGCTGAGCACTTTCGGCTTTCTCTACGGCACCTTTCCAGCTGCCCCCGGGGCTTTCGTCATTGCCACACAGTACAACATGGAGGTGGAATTGGTAATTGAGTTGAAAGTGAATTCAAAATCCACTCCCTATTAATTATGTATTCCCTTTGTTCAGGTTGCTCGTAGCATGGTTTTCTGCACATTCATCTCAGCACCGTTGATGTTTATATCAGCCAAAATGATATCGCTGACGAACCTGAAGCCACTGGATTATCTTCATGAGCTGGATGCCTTTTCGTTTGACATCAGCGTTGCTGGTGCGGCTGCCTGTTGTATTATGTTGGTATTGCTTATTGTGACAAAGCGCTTCAAGCGAATGCCGCAGAGAATCACTTTCTGTCTGGTGCTGTCGCAGGTATTGGATTATTCGTGAACATATCGTTGAAATTGTTTTAATCGCATATCTTTTACAGCTCATGTGCTGCATTGGAGTCATTCTCTGGTCCAAAATGGAGCATGTCCATCGTTGGCCGTTGTATCTACAGTTTTTCCTCTTCAATATTGGCACCTACAGCACTCGCCTTTGGACGGGACTTCTGGCCATTTCCCTGCTCTTCCTGCAGTGTCGCAGCTTGTGCTTCGTGCTGAAACTTTGGCCTTATATGGTAATTATTAATTGTGAATTAATAATATGAACTTAACTTATTACATTTCTGTTTTAGTTGGTGTTTGCCTGGGGTGTACCGGCCGTAATATCAGGCCTGTTGGTTGCCTTTGACTCGAATGTGATGTCAGAGGAAAAACATAATCCCAGCTTCCAGTATGGCAATGCTCAGGCAGCAATCTCCGTTTTTATGCTCGTCATGTGCTTTATAGGTAAACGAAAAAAGTATTTTATAAACTAAATACTAAATGAGTATGATGAGAATCCGATATGCATTTGAAGAGTTAAAGCAAGACCTATTGAATCCTTGGTTTACGTTTGGTAAAGAAATACTTTACCATCCGGAATCTTCTATGGACGTCAGTCAGGTCCTACAATGATGTGTCAAAAGTTTTCAATCTGATTTAATTTCTCTTAAGAACTTTATGAATTTCTACCTCAGTTTTATCACTAACTCGTATTAATTACATTTTTTCAGTTACTGTTGGTTGCTTGGTGCTGCATCAGCGTTATAAGAAACGCTACGAAAAGTATATGACCTATTCACGTGAGTTGTCCAACCCGGAGTCGGGTAGGTACCTGATTTTATATCGAATTTAAAACCTAATGGTTGTCTTATTACAGAATCATCCGATCTGCACTCGACAATATCGACGACCAACTTGTTAAGTCACACGGATCATTCCTCCATCCGACAGAGTGTTCGCACAGCCTCCTACTCGTCCTCATCCGACGATGATGAAATGATCCCAACAGCTGCGGGATTGCCAAGGAGTAGGACGAATGGTAATGCCAGTGGAGGATCAGGAACAGGAGGAGGTTGTGGCTCCGGCAATGGAAACTGTTGCTCAGGAGGAGCTCCAGCAGCCAGCGCCTCAACCACCAGTACTGTGGTTGTGGATATTGAGGATCTATTGAATCGTACACGTCAACGCGCCAGTGGTGCAAACAATAAAGATCTGGACAAGATCGAAAGTGCACCGGCCACTGAAGAGTGAGTTTTAAGTTAAAATGACAAAGTAAATAGTAATAAAATATGTTTCTGCTTTTAGAATTCGCAATCAAATGTGCAGTAGCTCTTTCAACTGTGGACCTAGTACCTCCCGTCAAAGTTGTCAAACTATAATCGAGCGATATGAGGAACAGAATAGACGTGGGCTCGAGCCCCTTGAACACCCGAGCGACACGGATGAACACCAAACATTAAAACACACCGTTCTTCTGATCATTCTGCTGTGCTCCATGTTCGTCGGCCTGGCGGTGTCCATTTGGACATTGGTCATGGAAGGAATGTCGGGCATATATCTTGAACTTAGCTTCCTCGATGCTTTCCTGAACTTTGGCCAGGGTCTGATTGTGTTGGCCGTGTTTATAGCTGACATAGGCGAGCTATTAATGCCAGTTGTCAAGCTGTGGCGAAAATTATGGTGAGTTGGGATTAGCTTTTTCACATTTTTATCTTTAATATATTATTTCTCTCCCGTTAAAGGTATGGAGCCAATGTGGTTAGTCTACCTCACTGGTCTAACGTGCGTCCGGAAACCAAGCATATTTGTGAACAGTTCCGCAATCATCATTTGGAAAACTGCAAGAAGGATATTGCCAAGGACAGAAGGTGGGCATCTCTTAGAATGGTTTTAGCTTAGCAAGTCTAGGGTTCCCTTTAAAGTGTTGTTTAGTTTAGTTTCATCTATAAATATTTATTATTTTCTTATTTAATTTAAACCCTGCCTTAGAATGTTAAGCAGCAATAGGAATAGTTATTTGGATGATAAAAGTTTTTAATTTTTTTAAGACAATGTAAGTATTTTCAGTGAACTTTATTTCGTTCCATTTTATTCAGCTTGATTTTAGCAAATTCTTAGGCACAACAATTAGCATTATATCCGATATATATATATATATATTTGAAATTTTCAAATGGCATTCTAATCAATGTTATACATTTTTACAGATGGCGCATTCGAGTGTATCGCAGAGTGTTCTACGGCACCGAGTTCGTCAGCTGGCTTATCGAGGTTGGACTGTCGAAGGATCGCATGGAGGCTGTGCACTATGCCCGACATCTGGTCGATGGTAGGGTTTTAAGACACATCAACAACGTTTATCATTTCGAGGATAAACTGCTGCTCTACAATTTCTGCAGTCGCATCTAGAGGCAGCTACTATAAAAACGAAGCAACTACGCCAAATTTAGTTTGATTTCCTGTTTAGTTTATCATATCTCTTGTATGTAATTTTAGACTGCTGTGATTGTATGCCAAACAAGCACGCACACACGATGCAGCCAATTGTGTGTGGGTGATGCTATTTGGCTAGTGGGAGGATGAGCTAGTGAATTTGTTTATATTGTCCAAGTAATTTGCTTGGCAAATGAAAGTTTATTTTTTAAATGTTTATTACTAAGTAGTTGACTCAGCTGACAGTGGCAGGGGGCTATCAGCTAGAGCTTTATATAGTGCAATATAGAATACTGAATGAAAGTTAAGAGCTGCAATTTTCCTAATAATATTCTAAATTACTGTGTACTTTAAACGCAAATCTGTGTCACAACTAAAGAGAAAACTGTGCATAAAACGCTATGAACGAATATAATATAATATATCGATATACATGTATACATATAGTTTAGTAAACACCTTTAAATAAATATATATACTTTCATATATACCTCAAGCCGCGAGGCCCAAAGAACAAAACATTTACCATGCATTTGTGTCGCATTCGATTTCAATCTTAATTTGCATTGTTTTCTTTCAACACAGCCTTTTGTTTTGATATCTGTCGTTTTGTTGTCGAATCTTCAGCTTTAGCCATTTTCGATCGGCTTTTGGTCTTGCACGCGTCGCTCAATCTGCGTATTTTGCGTGTTTGAAATATCAATATCCCTTAATTCCGGCAACTCTATTAATTGTTCGCCAGCCATCTTCGATTTAATATTCTGCTTACGATGCCTGGAGCTATTTTTTTGGTATGCGCCTGTCTCCCATAAACATTCTCGGAGAGAAGTCTCGACTCTTCTCTGACCAAGTATCGCCAATCCATTGAAGTTCTGCTTTGTTTGATATGCTAAATGCAAGTAATTGTAAAAAGCGCTGCCACACTGACTACCATAAGTCTTCACTCGCAGCAGTTACACTAACATTGAAGTGTGGAATCTGACTCATTTCATTTGCAATAATAGGAACCATTATAGTCTCTAGCCAGCAGTTATGTTAACATTTCCTTTGGCCTTCGAAAATAGTGGGATATATACAGACTAGCTCAATTTATAGAAATGTAATGCAGTCCCAAGGTCTAAACAATTCTTATCATATGATTGCAATTTGGTCATGAGCACCAATTGTGGAAATGGCACTGCAGGATGAGTCATTAGGGGAAGTAACACTCGTTAAGGGTGTGCAATTCTTAAGGGTCTTACAGCTGGTGGGGAAAATACTCTTTCTTAAAACAACAAAAAGGTACATTTTTTAATAAGCTATCTACTAGTATTTGAAAAGGTGAATTTTATCCCAATATTAGTTTTATTAAAATCCTAATAAGAGACCAAAGCTAAATAGAATCGTATTATTATAAGATATAAGGACAAGTAATGCACCCATATTGTACACTTAGTAAACAATTTGAAAAGAGATATTTAAATTGAAGCCAAAATACAACTAAATAAATATTTAATTTGACTCCTTTAGCTGATTCTAATAGTGTAATCAATATTCTCTATCGAATCCTCCTCGTTCTATCAACTTTTTATAGTCAAACATTGTAGAACAAATATATAAGTTTACCTAAGCATTCAGAGACTTTCCCGACCTTATCGCTATTGACAGAGTTAAAAAAATGTCGGGATGTTTACTTAAATCAAGGGGTAAGCAATTTGGCACTGATTTGTTAAGTTAGAAAAAAACACAGCAATTTTCTAGCTACTACTAGCAAGTCACAAGGCCAACAACCCTGACTTTGTAGGCTCATACCTAAAGCCCCAAAATCTTGGTCCATTAATCAGCCGCTTTATGACTGAGAAATGTTCACTGAATAAGTGCAAATAGTGAGATATTATTTATTCATTTAATTTTGCAAAAAGGCGCCAGAGAGGGTCAGAGGTCAGTCAACCCTTGAGATACCAATGAACAATTTTCATTTGTTCCAGCCATCCAATTCACCCCACGCAGTGGACGGCGAAAATATATGGTCGGCTGTCGGCGTTGCTTTGGGCATTCAATTTCGAGGCGTAGAAATAATAGACACCAAAACCAATTCTGGTAACCGTTAACGAGGATATCAAGGGACACCCAATTCTAGGACAGCACTCACATTCAGCGTTTTGTTGCCTTTCGGGGGAATTAACTAAAAATAGTCCAACGGCATGACGTCTGCTGAAGGCAGTGGGATGATACTTGAACCGCAATTTCGCACAACAAGGACGACGTCAGCCTCCCTGCAGCCGCAGGCTCGTTAATTTCATCCAGCTGTAGATGTAGCATTTAATTTCCAGTTCCTCATACGCCCCGTTGTCGCCTCGCAACAAAGACCACCCATCTCGTTCCCTAACATCCCAATATGGATCTTCACATTGCCGGCTTCCGGCTTTTTTTTGTTCGGCACATGGCTAATTTCACATTTAAAATGCAAGTATGCGAGACTTTCAATTTAAATATTAAGTTCTCTATAAATATTTCTATAAATTTTTAATAGTTTCATTACTTTTATTTGTTTTTACAATTTCTTTGAAGAATTTGATTCCGAAATTCTATTGCAGCTACAACCACAATAAATCTCTCCAAAAATTCAAATTGAAAATTCTTAATTGTTAATTTTCAATAGAACGACTGGCGATCCAATTCAAAAGCTGAATCAAAAAGATTTGCAAATTATATTCAAAGTTCTCCTAAGATACTCTTCCTTTCAATCGTGGTGCATTGTTTGTAATAATGAGATTTCGTTATAATAAAACGTAAAAAAAAACTACATCTATTATTTTTTTACAAAACAGAAATTTAAGGAATCGTCTTTATCAACGTGAAATATATATCTTTCAAGTTAAGTTAAGCTTTAATAAAAAATAAACATTTTAATCAAAAACAAACTTCCGGAAAACTTAAAAGAACAAGTCGAATTTACTAGATAACATTTATAAAAACGTTTTATTGTATTAGTCAACTTAAAGCGAATGCAATTCCTACTTTAAAGGTTTATTTTTATTTTACAGATAAGAGAGTTTAAATTAGTCAACTTTTAGTGAATGACTAGAATTTCTATTTAACTTAACTGTAGATATCAAATGCGAGACGAACGATGAGAACAAATTTCATTTTTAAAACATAAAAAAATAATTTTATAACTAAATTCTTCGGTTACAGTATAAGAATTTCTTTAAAATTAAAGATTTGCTTTTCTTCATCCAAAAAACAAAAAAACCGAATGATTAACAAAAGTGCTAAAATATAAAATAATTACTATTTCTTAATATGAAAACATTATTAATTATGGTCTTTTCCCATGACCAATAAACCAAAGTTTGGTGGTTGAATTAGTTGAGCAGCCTAAAAAAGTATTTTATTATGGAAAAAGATAAGGTAATGCACTTTTATTACACTTTTATTTGTAATAAAACTTGAGTTAATATTTTTGAAAAATAATTTATTTTACTTTTGAAATAAAAATCCATTCAATAAATGTAATTTAACAATTTCCAATGGAAATTGTTATTCAAAGTGAGCAGAAACTCGATAGGGTATCAAACAATAAAATTTGTCGTGCTATTTTGACCGCTCGCACACGTCCAAAGGCGCTGGCACGAGCTGTGCATTTTCGATGGGGTAGGTGGCGGTATTGAGAGGGTGTTGATGTGGGTGTGGGAAGGTGCTTTGGGGTGTCTATATGCTATATGCTATATACGTTATTTCCGATCCGACTACCGACGGCGCCAGCCGAAGCAAAGCCGATCCAGAGCCGAGGCTAAATGTTTGCCAACTGTTGAGCAAGGAACCGTAGCATACGATACCCCCTAGAAACCCCTCTGCGGTCCGATCTGCCCAACCACCCACTTCAATAGCTTTGGAGCTATAGGCAGTAGCAGCAACAGCAGCCGACGAGTGCGCCGCTCGGCGGTCTAGTCATTCTTAATCGACGCCTGGCTGACTGCAGACGCGCTCCTCGGATCGAATCGCCTTGGAATTAGTCGGTTAATCAAGTGTGTGGCGCGCTCTAATCATTAATTAAGTGTCTTAGGAAAAGCCATTTTCCATTTTGGCTATCAAAACGGGTTTTCCATCTACTGCCATGTTTTTGTGGCAGTCCCATTTGTGAAAAAGTAAAATAAAAATCGTTTTGCGGGCCAGTTAGATTTTCACCTGAATTTGCAATCAAACGTAATTATCACAATCACACCGGCAACATGGAAACCACGACACCAGCGATGGACCTGTTTATGCTGAATAGTACAACAACGGTCACTGCAATACCTCCCAAGGGCCTCTATGCGAATCGGAATCGCTTGATCTTCGGTGTCATTGTCATGGTTTTGGGCGTTTTTGGAAATTCGCTGGCACTTTTTATTTTGGCGCGCAAAAAGCGAAATAAAAACAGCAAATACACGCTCATGTTGCGGTAAGTTTAATTCTACAGAGAAGAAAATTGGTAAATTTTATAAATTAAATTTGAACATTTAGATTTCTTAAAATTCAAGGGGCCTATTAACATTTTTAACATTTTCAAATTAATATTTACATATTCCTAAAATATTTCATTCATATTTGTGCATGAGACTGTCAGATTTTAAATATAACATATTAGTATATATATATTCCTAAAAAAGTATATATTTGTTAAATTTCCACTTAACTAATTTTAAAGTGTTTGTTAAGCGATCAAAATTATTTTTATATTTGCTAAAATTGATCAAAATTATCACCACAAGGGGAGACAGATAGCGATTAAGTATTTTTCTCCGTGTAACTACTCATTTTATGCACTTAATGTTTGTGACTGTTTGTGGCCAGTTGGTTCATGGCTATGTAAGTTTATTCAACCTGCTCTCAACTACGGCTACTATAGTGTTCGATTATATGCCTATGCGGGACTGATTTGCATACTGTGAACTGTTTTGTTTGGCCAGAGCTTTGTTTTTGTTTTCTTTCTTTTTGCATATCTTATCAAATGGTGGAATTAGTTCATTGGCCATGTGTTTTAGTGGTGAGATTTTGTCTATATTCCAGTCTGTTTCGAACAATCTTATCGGCGACATGGGAATGCAGCTATTGCGAATGCATTAAAAGCTTAATGGTGTAGGCAAAGACAGAGATCCCAGCTCAGACAGATTGGCATTCCATTCAAAAATAAAAAAGGGGAGCTTTTACAACACTTTTGATTGCCTTTGTAAAGATGCAAGAATTTATACCATTTTTCTAATATGAAACGAAGCTAGTAAACTTTATTTAGCTTTGTTCAAAGTTCATGCTTTAAATAATAAAACGTCTCTTAAGTGAGTAAGTCATTTGAAACTTATTTCTAAGAATTAGTATCATTCTGTGATAAAAACGTTATATAAATTTTGTGAAAAAACAACATGACAAAAAGTGCACTTACATTTTATTAACAAGCTTATCAAGTGAAGAAATATTTGTTATGACTTAAAGGTTACTCCTTTCAGTTCACATGAAACATTTTTGTCACAATTTATATTTCATTTATCAGCATTAGACCCTATTGGTTAAGATTTACTGGGCATGCATCCAATTTGCTCCTTTCGCAATATTTTATGCTGAGACGACAGTGCGTATGCGAAATATGAGCAAATTGCTGTCGCCAGCAATTTGAGCCATCAAGGAAGCACAAATTAATGCGAATTCCACTCCAAACACAAGTCTTTCCTTTGGCAGAGCCTTTGATCTGTAATTTGATTGATTGAATGAACCCAGTGATTGGCACTTGAGCAGTAACGATAAATCAGGGTATCCCAACGAGATGACATCACGAGCCCTGTGTTATTGCTTTTTGCCGCCGAAAGAGAACCGGAATGGCTGTGGAAATGTGTATTTCCCAATTGCAAAAATAAACAATGAGTTTGCTATTCCACAAGTCAGAAACAGAAAATCTTACATTTTACATTGCAAATCGGAAATTTAGACATTTTCGCCCTGTAATGAACAGTTTCGATGCTTTTGCTTTCAGTGAAACTATTGCAATGCATCGTAAACTGAGTTTTTAATAGTTTTTCCAATAGAGGCAGGTATAAAGGTATACAAGCAAATAATAAAAGTAAAAATAAATAAAGTCATGGCAGTGCCTAACGATTAGCCAAGCCTCTTGGCCCAGCCTCAGTTTCCTACATTTGTCAATCACAATTTATTTATATTCAAAGCAGAAATTTTCATTCATTTACAATGAACTTTGTGAAAATAATATAACTTGTTAGGAAAATGATTTATTTTATATGGTTTTTATCTTAATAGGAATGATTAAGAATATTTCTGTTTAGAAAAAGTTATACTCTGCTCAAATATTTTTATAAACAATGAATAGAAGTCAATAAAAATATTTACTTCACTTTACGATTTAACATTGTTGGCCTCAATAAAAACCTTCCAAACCCTTACCTCATATATATGATATGATATAAAGAACATAAATCGTTAAAAAAATATATTTAATATTAATACATACCACCGCCCCTTATCTAACCATAAAGAATATCCATATAATGGCTGAAACTTTTTATTTATTATTTTTCAATAAAATGTAATCATTCATTTATATATTGTCTGCGGTTGATTAAAGATCGAGTCACGTCTTAGCCTACCAAAATCGATAGTTGTTCAACCATTTGGGGCTGCGGTATCTTGATTGAAAGTTTTGCCTTATCAAAATGGCAATTAATTAAAAATAATTCGTTATTACATTTAATAAAGCTTAATGGTTTGTGGGCAATTTAACGTTAATGGAGTGTAAACCTTTTATTATCCAATTTCCGAGCCTTGAAAGGCCATTCAACTAAGCTATCCTTAAGTTATGGGAACCCTTACCCATTTCAGATGCCTGGCCACTAACAATCTGGTGGCTCTGCTGGGTATGCTGACCACAACTCTGCTGAAGATGTACCTTTCCAAGGAGGTCCTGCAGTCCTTCATCCGAGCGGATTGTATGGGTCTTGTGGTGTGGCGGTTCTTTGGCCTTAGCTCTGGATGCATTGCGGCAGTCATGGCAGCGGAAAGGTGGATGGCCTTGGCAAGACCCTTTATTTACCACAAGGTACATACATTTTTTAAACAATTGAATAATGAAAAAAGTTACCACAGAAATTTCAGTTCATGTTATGCATATGCTTAATTTATAAATGTAATGTTATAAACTTTAAGATCTTTTTTGAAACATTTAATTAACTAAACAAATGAGATAATTTGCATTCAGGAACTCACAAGCCTTACAAACTCATTTATCTAATAGTTATAAATCTCACCCAAAGCACATCACCTTCGAGCTGATTCGCAAGCTGATTCAGTACATACTGATCGTGGCCGTGGTCATCACGTTCCTGCCATTTGTTGGGTTTGGAGCCTATATTGATGAATCTGATCCCGACCACATGAAATGCATACGATATCGCGATGCGCCGGGAGTGTGGAACAAGTCGTACGCGGTGCTCTTTATGGTCTTTGGTAATTACCTACCATTATTTTTTATATATTCCAACTAATTTGAAAATCTACACCAGGTACCCTGCTCTGCATAGTGATCGTGGCATGCAATCTCTTCGTGGCACACACATTGCTCTGTGTGATCGGTAGGAGTCGCACGGCCAAAAGGCACATGCACTATGACCTGGTGACCAGGGACAAGAGCAGTGCTATTAGCATCGATCCGGAGAGCAGCAGCGGCACCACTCTCTACCAGACGCAGCTTAGCTCAGGAAGCGGGAACAGCCATCGCAGTGTCCAGCCAACTAGGCAATTCCGTCATAGCGTTAGCGTGACTATGGCTGCCACGGATTCCTCACCGGTGGAGATAAAGTTCGCCAAATTGATGGCGTTTCTCAGTATCTCATTTGTCATCTGCTGGATGCCACAGATGGTGAGTCCTTGGGAAATTCACCATACTATTCATACAATCTAATTTTGAAACATTTTTAAGATTGCCATACCATTGGCCATTGCCCCGAACCGGGTACCTGCAACGAATAAATTTTTCATAATCGCTGATGTCCTCACGGCTTTGCACTTTACCTCGGATCCGTATGTCTATGTCTTGAGTCGATCCAAGTCCATCAACTGGTCATTGTTTAGCTGCATCAAGCGCTGGAGGAGTGGATGGAGACCGGGTGGACTCCGCCGATCTCAGAGCGATCAGAGCCGCATGCGCACCACCATGACGGAGGCGAATACTCTGGACTTCAACTGATTCCCATTGACCCTCACATTGCACCCAAGTACTTAATTCCACATCCCCCAGGTTCAGTGGGATCTCACTCAATTGTCATTTGCGCTACCCTTGAAATACTCGAAAGAAAGGCGCCTCCTAGTCTTGTAAGCTGTACATAATATATCCATACATTGTATCACATCATATCAGGGCTTTCCTTATATGTATGCTCAGCGCACATAATCTCAATATCAATATTTGCGATTGGTGGCATAAAATATATAGCTTGTGTGTATGTAAAGCTAAGGGCTTATGAAAATTTATTGGGTTTTTGAACGGATTGCGAAATCTAATATCAATATCCTTCGTTTATTAGAGATAATTAGGATGCATAAGAGAAATGAACGAAAATTACGAAGCCACTTTTGAATAGACAAAACATCTTATGGTAAACTACCTAAGTTCTATATCTTAAACTTTGTTTTTCCGATGATATATACCCAAACTGCAAATCGCAGTTTCTAGGAATTGTTGTCCAACATTTCAAAAACGAATTTCCATTTCCCTCGAATAAGACGAACAGGAATTGCATTTGTTTTACAACTATTTTGTTTATTTTAAAATTTTTATGATTACATAGTTTGAATGGTCGACTGGCTGGTATGGTATGCAGTGGGGAGGTGGTGAATTGGGTGTAATTCATATGGAAATCAATTCAATCATGTTGTTTGTTTGTTTTCTTCCTCGTCACAGAAAAAAATCAAGAAGTTCCTCCATCAGCTACAATGTATTCAACTGTTCCAACGCAAAGTTGCTTGTCTTGTCTGTTTCGATTCATTCAGTTTTTATGCAAATCGGGATGCAAATGTCAAATTACGGGAAGAGATCGATGTGATCTGCTCTTCATCCTCCTGGGCGTGAATGTATTTATTTTCTTGTATAGAGTTAAAGTATATGTTATGTTAAATTACGAATTCCTTCGACGTCTACTTAGTAGCGATTGTAGCGGCCACGGGCACGTTGGCGTTGCGGTGTGGCCTTGGCTCCGGTGGCAGCGCGAGCCGGCGTTGCTTTTTTGGCCGGTGATGGAGAGGCATCCGGCGTTGGGGCCGCAGCAGCAGCAGGAGTGGCGGCAGCAGCGGGTGCCTTGGCTGGGGTCTTGGCTACCGCCTTGGGCGCGGGAGTTTTGACTGGCGCAGGCTCCGCTTCGGCTTCTGGCTCGGCCTCTTGTTCCTCATCTTGGGCCTCCATCTCCTCCTCCCCCTTGTCCTGGGAGGCGCCATCATCTGCACCCTCGACCTCTTCTTCGCCCTCTCCTTCACCTTCGCCCTCGGCATTGTCATCAGCCATCTCTACGTCGTCATCGTCACCGGTGGCTTCCGAAGGATCGTACAGCTCACCCTCGGCCTCCTCAGTAGCTTCCTCGGCGGCTCCCTCAGTGGCCGGAGCCTCTGCCTCCTCTATCTTGCGCTTCTTGCGCTCATTCTCCTCCAGGGCAGCGGCAGCGCGCTTCTGGGCGATCTTGGTATCGCTGGACTTTTCGTTGATGAACTTCAAGAAGTTGCGGTGATGGGTAGCTGTGCGCGAGTGAATCTCGGCGGTCACCTCGGTGTCGAAGAACTTGCTGCACACCGAGCACTCGTAGCACTCGAGCTTGGAGATCAGGCCAGGACCAACGGCGCGCTGCCAGTTGTACTTGGGTAGGCGGGTGTCCACCTCGCTGGGGATCTCGTCGCCGTCATTGAAGTCAAGGATGCAGTCCTCGGGATCCACAGGCAGGGCCACCTCCTCTTCCTCCTGGCTCTCGTTAAGATCTTCGCCCTCCTTGGTCTCGTCGGCACCCTCTTCGCCTTCCTTGGCCTCATCGCCCTCGGCTTCTTCACCCTCGGCAGCCTCACCATCGCCGCCACCCTCCTTCTTGGCCTCACCGTCGGCGGCTTCACCCTCCTTCTTGGCTGGCTTCTTCTTGCGCTTCTGGGGCAGGCGGAGATCGCGGGTCTCCTCCTCCTCAGTGCTGATGGGCAAGGTTTGGCGCTTGCGCTCACCAACCTTGGTGTTGCTCTCGGCGGCCTTCTTCAGATGCTCGGCAGACAGCAGATGGGTGTCGTAGTCGATGCGAGTGGCGAACTCCTTGTTGCACTCAATACACTTGGGATGAAGGAACTTCTTCAGCTGCAAGTGGCCCTCCGACTTGCGATGGGTCGAGATATGACCATGGAAGTTCAGATCGCACATGGTGCAGTAGTCCAACTGACGCTGCTTACTCTTGCCCATGCGTTTCAAACGGTCGAATTCAATCGACTTAAGCTGCTCGGCGATCTTAGCCTCCTGACGGATCATGTTGGCCTTAAGGCGGTAGCTCTCCTCAATGCCCTCGCGCATCATCAGATGTGTGCGTCCCTTGATGTGGTTCTCGAACGAGTTTGCGTCCCACATATGCTTCTTGCACAGATGACAGTAGAACATATCGTTGGGCACACTAGCGTACGGCGACTCCTTGGTTGGGCTTTATAATTTGATCACAGATCATTTATTTTTTGAGGAAAGGAATAAAGAAAGGTAAATTAATTAGTTTTTAAGTCTTAAATGCTTAGACGGGGATTCGTCTGGTCTGGCTCTGGGGAAGAGAATACGATATTAGAGGGGTAGAGTGGTTCTTGCTGCAATTTATATTTATGATACGTACAGTAAAGATGGCGATAGGTGAGTCATACAATAATAGTGAATAAGTTGAACTATGATTTTGATGCGTTATGAAAGTGAGTATAGATGCTTGACAAGAAAGAAATATGCCATTAACTTAAAATGTGAAAGTTATAGTCTTAAATAAAAACAAAAACTTAACTTAAATTATGTTTTTACAGCAAAGTTGTACAGCATATTTCTTTCTGTAATGAAATCTTACATTTATAGTTGAAGTTTCAAGCAAAATTTAGATTATTTAAACATGAAATGATTTTGCAATCAAAAAGGAGAGATTATCATCATCGTTTCTATTTGAAGAATGTTAATATGTTAAATATAAAGAAATTTAATAAAAATGTCATTAACATTTTAGTTAATTAGTCTCTCCTTTTTAAGTTTTAAATATCAAAAACTCAAGTTAAGAATGTACACAAAACGCAAAAAGTGAAGCCCAATCTTACATAATAATATTAATTATTTTCAAATAAAATCTTATTGAAAAAACAAAAAAGATTTGGGTAATATGTAGGTCTGAACGAACACATTGAATTATAGACTTACACTTGCCCACCCAAAGGGTCGAGATCCCGCCCACCTTGCCCACAAACACACAGTTGTAAGAACAGCATCAAAAAAAAAGGTAACACCCTAATGAAGAACTAATTCTAATTAAATATACTTTTTAGAAATGTATGAGGAGGAAACGCAATTAGAAAGTTTGAATGCCTAAGTACTTAAGAAAAACTGTTTAAATTAAATATTTACGCTGCTAAGTTTGTTTTTTTTTGTTTTTGGTTTTTAGTGAAAGAAATCAATCCTTTCGATTTGGTGGGCAGCAAAAATGTATACTCTTTTTTTGTGGTTTTTGGTTTGGTTTTTTTTTTGTTTTTGTTTTTTGGAAAAGTTGTAGTAAGTCTTACCTCTCGATTTTCTTTTCGCCAGGAGTGGGTTCCTTCTTTTTATTTTGGTTGGCATTTTTAGCCAAAAGTTTCTTGGCACGATCAAAAGCATTTTGCTTGCGAATACCGCCGCCGCCCTGCTTTTGCGGGGGCTTGGGTCCACTACCAGTGGCGCCACGATTTTGGAAGCCACCTCCCTGGCCACGACGGTTATTAAGACGATTGCCGGCACCGCCGCCGCGATTGACCATCTAATATTGTTTAGTTTATCATTTTGGATTAACATTAACATTTCGTACAATTGCGAATGCACACACATGGCACATAATATGTGTAATTGATTTTGGTTTTGGTTTACAGAGACAACAGTATATAGATATAGATCGCATTTTCGAATGATCAAAAGGGGCAATTATGGCGTTGTTGGCCATTTACAATGTTTTGTAGGTTCAGATTGATCAAATAGAATAGATAAATGATAATTGCGAAGACAAATCGTTACAGAGATTACATGAAAAACGTTGATATATAGTTAAATATATATATATATATATATAGATATACATGGTATATTGATATTTGGTCAGATCGGCGGGGCAGTTGCGGCGGCCAATCAGTCGACGGGGATTAGTTGGATATATATTGCAGACATATATATTCATTCATTCGTTGGCGTGTGGCGGCGAGTGGCATTTGGAAAATTGGAAATCGGATTTGAGTTTCAGAGGCAGGAACGTCGAAGAAGAATTGGCGATGAATTTGCATTAGACATTAGATATTAACAGGTATTACATATTTGTGGTTTCGGATGTAATTATGTTGCACCATCAAGCAGTACCAGTACCAGATCGGATCAGTTTCGGTTTCAGAGCAGAGCAGATTAGAAGATTGCAATGCGATCAATATCAATCAATCGAAAGCAATCAGTCAATCAATCAATCAATCAGTGGCGTCGCACGGGAAGCATCATATAGTATATAGTTTCGCATCGTCGGTGGAGTTTCGCATATTGGCCACATTGTGTGTGCATCGCGTGCGCGTGTGTGTGTGCGTGTTGAGTATGTGTTTGCGTTGCATTTTTTGTGTGTTTTCAATTTTATTTTGATTTTCCGAAATTATATTGTTGGCCGTTAATGGAATATATTAAGTTTGGGCGGGAAAATCAATTTTCGTTGATATTGCAATAGATATTTTTGCAAGTATGGGAAGAGGCAGCATTAACGGCAACAACAATAGGCAACATCAGCAACGACAACGCCAACAACAGCAGCAACAACAACAACGCCAGCAGCAGCAGCAACAACAATAACAGCAATTGAATATGCCGGAGCAGCAACAACATGAAATGCATTATTCGAAATATGCAAGACGATGCGGTTTCGATATTCGGATATTCGACATTTGAGGTGTATTGAAAAGCATCGAATTTTTGAGTTCATTTGAGGCATATTTTTGTTTTGGTTTTGGAAGAGAGAATAAAAATAGATAATGGATAAATTAGAAAAGCATTGTGGCAAAAAAGAGTCCAGCCAAGTCCAATGTTTGATTTTAACTTGGCAAAGGATTTTGGATAATAATCGAATTATAAATATGGTAAAAAGGTAATTAAATGCTTAAGTACATCTAGTAAGAGAATTATTGCATATAAATTACTTATGATTCAATCTTGACATATAGAGATCATCATCATATCATACTCTTTTCATCGTTAAGTGGAACAAGTGTTGGCGGTACATGTTTTTATAGGTACATTTTTATTATCAATGCGTGTGTATATTTTATATTAAATCAATTCGGTTTTTCTTATTTCGTCGGTTTGTGCAGTTTCTACGGAACTAAAAAAGTATTGCATTTTAAATGGAATAAATGCGTTTTTAAATTGAAAACCTTCCATCCTCCTCCTTGTAATCTTAAATCCTAACAAAACTGCACAAAAGTTCTTATCATTACAGTCTTCTTTCTATTATTATTTTTGTTAGTTTATGTTTTTCCTTTTGTCGATTTAGTAAACTACATACTACAATTATATTTTGGATCTTTGTTTTTTATATATCTTAAAGCAAAAGCATTATCTACGTTGGGTAATAATAATATAACAATCTAAGTAAGAGTAAATTAACACAAAATATAAGGTTCTGTAGTGGAGAGCAAGAAAATAGTCATTACAAAGAGCACACATTTAACTTAGGTTTATTTTAGGCTGGATTTAGCCTTGAAATGTTTTAAAGAAAACAATTTGGGTATTTTTGTTAGACATTAATTCGAAAGAATAGTACACTCATTTTGAAAGTACTTATATAAGTCATTCGGACCTGAAATGATTACAACTTTACATATTTTTAGACAATATTGCCATTCTATTCCAACATATGTACCATACATTTCATCTAAGAAGACCTTTCATTACTTACAATCTCCACCACAGAAATTCGATTCGCAGTTCACGAATTCCGAAAATAACTAACATAGATAAATATAGAAATTTACTTCGTATTTTGTCAACTAAATTGGGGGGAAAATTGAACTTTTGTACATACCGGGCCGCCGCGTTGATTGCGATTTCCCATGCCGCCGCCGCCGCGAGGCAAATCCAGAAGCGATGGTGGATTCTGGTTCCTGAACAGATTGTTCAGCAGATTGTTGGCCAGGTTAATGGCCTGGGCGTTCATTTGACCGCCACCCTGACGCATATTGTTGCCAAACTGTCCACCGCCGGGATTTTGCGATTCCCAGGGTGACATATTCATACCGCCCATGCGGTTGGTGCCCATAGGACCACCATAGTTGTTGTTACCACCTCCAAAGTTGCGGTTGCGATTCTGGTTACCACGGAATGCCATGTTGCCGTTGACCTTTTGGGTATTCACTAAACGATTCTGGGGATTTCCGTTGACCTTTACGCTGCAAGAAGATAAGATAAACTAATTAGTGAATCTATAAATACAGCTGATTTCGATATATAGGTTTTATTGGGAAAATTATAATAATCCAAGAACTTCGAAACCTTTTATAAAATAATTCGCAAAACAAGAATTTTGTTTATCACTTTCACAAAATATAAATGACTAATTCGCAAGTATATACATTTTTAAGCCGTTATTTACACATTTGCTTGTGTTTTTTTATATCAAAATTACTTTAAATATTCTAACAATGGCTTAAAAAAGTATAATTTTAGAAGCGGAAAACGTTTGGTTCTTGAAAAAAGGAGATACATAAATAATTAGTGTTTTTTGGGGTTGATGTGCAGCATACCTGACCATAATTTTGATGGGTTTTTGATTTTGTGGGATTGTTTTTATGGGATGTGTAATGTAGGATTTGTATTTAAGCGAAGCAAAATACTTAAAGCAAGCTGAAAGTAAAACGGCACAAACAAAGATCGAAACAAATATTGAGTTGCAAGCGGGAAATTTTAAATTTATTTGTTGTTAGTAAGTCTTAATATTTTATTCAACGGGTAGTTATTGAACCCCAAAAGAAAACCCGTAAAACAACCCAGCGTGCGTATACACACACCACCACACGATACATACATACATACAAAAACAAGAGAGAAAAGAGGAAAGAAGGGAGATAACGAAATGAGAACAATTTTGGCGCTATACTCAGCAGCTTACATTAATAAGTATTAAAACTGGTTTGTAAGGCACAACACTAACACATTTACTTTCTTTGTATTTGGCCAATACAAAAGGGTAAAATAACGATGTAAAATAAACTCACAAAGAGCTAAGCAAAAAAAGATGGCGGCCCAGACAGTGCGTGTGTATAAGTAATTGATTCACTTGGAAAGCCGGCCGGCCATGCGGGTGCAAAAGGGAGAGAAATAGAAAAAATACAGTAGACATAAAAGTAAGCCTTCATTTCTGTAATTCAGAAAACTTGTTTTTGCACCAATAAATTATACTAAATGCATTAGTAAAACTATGTACATATATGTTCAGACCGCATAATGAAAGTATATCACGATAAAAAGCACTCAGGAACAAATAAATAAGCAATTACCCCATTATCTCATTACTTTATACACAAACACATGCAAGGAGCCCCAGGAAAATCAATAATTACTATTTTCAGATGCCCAGGGAATGCAAGCAAGAAAAAAAAATTACCCAACAGATACACAAAAAATTTTGCGTTAGCCTTACAAACAAAGCACCATACCAAGAAAATTGTTAATTTGTTAAGAAACTTACGTGATGCGACTTGTCAATTACTGGACTATTGCACTATTGTTTTCCTTACTGTAGCGAAAAATACTTTGCTACCTATATAATTCACACCGATCTAACACGTCCAACTTCCTCGATGATTTTTTCCTGGCCAACCAATTTTTTAGATACAGTGTGACCAGCTGCGTACTGTCAGATTTTATTAAATCTTTAACCGGTATTTTTCGTGCGTTTTTTATCGATATATATTGTTACTAGGTTTAGGTATTTGACGAACTGTACATATCGTGGGTACTACAACTTAGTTTTACTTATTAGTAAGATTCACTCTTTTATCAATGGTAAAACGATTTGAGATGCATAATTATGATTAGAGAAAAAACTTTTTTAATCATTTCTTCGATGTAGTATTATAAAAAAAAAGTTGGAGGTTTGTGTCCTGACTTTAACAGTGATTACAATCGCCTCCCTGTGAATGCTGGGTTTTTAAAAACTGTACATAATTTTTAATACAATTTTTAAGAAAATTTTAATTATACCACACTCAGGCCTATTTCTACATCATCTTGAAATACTTAGAGAACTTGACAATGAAATCTTACCCCTAAAGTTTCTTTTTTTTAATTTTTATTTTAATATATAATTTTGGGTCAGGATATACGAGGTGTGTTCAAAAAGTAAGGTGACTTTTCAAATTTCGCGGGCAACATATTTTCGATTATCGATTTTTTTGTTTTGTTATATTGGTACACTCTTCCCTAACATCTGTACCGAGTTTCAATGGAACATCCTCTTTTGTTTGGTTGTGAGAGGCGTAAAGTTACAAGTTATTTTGCGAGCTCGGCGATTTTTTGCTATCGAAAAATATGGATCAAAGGATTTGCATCAAATTTTGTGTAAAAAATAAAATTAAGTGCTCTGAAACACTTGAAATGTTGACAGTGGCATACGGTGAAACTGTTCTGAGTAAAAAAAATGTGTACAAGTGGTACAAACTCTTCCAAGATGGCCGGGAAGATGCCAATGACCAGCCTCGCTCTGGACGCCCAAGCACGTCAACAACTGATGAAAACGTTCAAGCAGTGACGAAAATTGTTTTGGAAAATCGTCGAATCACTATCAGAGAAGTTGCTGAAGATGTCGGTATATCGCTTGGCTCGTGCCATGAAATTTTTTCAAACGTTTTGGGTATGAGTCGTGTGTCAGCGAAGTTTGTTCCGAAATTGCTGAATTTTGACCAAAAGAACCGTCGCATGAGCATCGCTCAAGAGCTGTTGAATGACGTCAACGACGACCCAGATTTACTCAAAAGGGTCATAACTGGTGACGAATCATGGGTATATGGTTATGATATCGAAACCAAAGCCCAATCGTCCCAAAGGAAGAGCCCAGGCGAGCCAAGACCGAAAAAAGCACGCCAAGTTCGATCAAATGTCAAAGTTTTGATCACTGTTTTCTTCGATTACCATGGCGTGGTGCATCAGGAGTTCTTACCATATGGTCGTACGGTCAATAAACAGTATTATCTGGAAGTTATGCGCCGTTTGCGAGAAGCAATACGAAAGAAACGTCCAGAATTGTGGAAAAACAATTCATGGCTTTTGCATCACGGTAATGCCCCTGCTCACTCATCTTTGCTTGTGAGAGATTTTTTGGCCAAAAACAACACCACAATAATGCCTCAGCCACCATATTCACCGGATTTGGCCCCATGTGACTTTTTCTTGTTCCCAAAACTGAAGAGACCTATGAAAGGACGGAGATTTGCAACGATTGAAGAGATAAAGACTGCATCGCTGCAAGAGCTCAAGGCTATACCGAAAAGTGCTTATGGGAAGTGCTTTGAGGATTGGAAAAACCGTTGGCATAAGTGTATTGTATCTGAGGGGGATTACTTTGAAGGGGACAACATAAATATTGATAAATAAATTAATAGTTTTTCTTGAAAATACAAAGTCACCTTACTTTTTGAACACACCTCGTATGTAGATTAAATCCAACTCGGTTTCCATTTTTGAAAATATGTTTTAAAAAAAACATTCCTGTTAAATTTTTGTTTTGTTTTCTGAAGGAACTTAACTGAGCTTCAAGGACAGCCAGAAATTCTAAAATATTTCAAAACATAGAGCTTTATTTGAATCATCATTCGATTTTATTGAATTTGCATAAAACTGACGCAGTTCTTACGACTCTGCGCCTTTTGCAATGCATATGCATCGTTTGATTTACATACAAAGGGATTAAACGTATTAATTTTAAACGTTATAATAGGCAATAATCATATGTACTAGCAATAGTGGGTTTTGTGTGTTTAGCATTCGCATTACTGCTGGATCTTGTGTAGTTAATTAATTAAGTACCACAGCGTAAAGTAGGCTCAACAAAAAAATATGAGTGGCATATTTTCCTCTTCGACCTTCAATTTTATTTTCCTTTTCCATTTTTTTTTTTTGGTTTGTTTTTGTGTCTTTGTTTTAAGTGCATGGGCGCCACTAAAAGGCTTAGGGAGATTTTGTAGAGGTGTAGAGGGGATCTATCAGGGGTGATATATATATATATATATATATATATATATATATATATATATCCATACACATTTCACATACATTTACAAATATAATCGATTGGGGTGCAGGCGAATAAGCATCTGCCTCTCACCATTTAACACACATAGTTAACGTTATTATCCTACAGTTTCTGGTTTCGTGGACTAAGTTGCGCTATTTAACATAGAAACTAGAGAAAACACTAATCCGCAACTTGGTGTGCTCCCGAAATCTCTAGAAGTTTGAAGCAAATCCTTTATAGACTTGTAAACGGTGGAGCAGCCATTTCACACTATCTGCTGCACCGTTCACAACTACTTTAGATGTCTAGAAGGATTCAATAAAAGTAGTTTCTACAAGAAAATTTTACTTTTCTAGAAGTCTTTTACAGTTTTCAATTAATCAGTTAATCAGTTTTGCATCTGAATTTAAGGTAAGGGATTTGCCCCCGATATAATATGCTTTTAAAATAATGTTAATTTGTACATTCTCTTTGATTCTATTTAAATAAAAAAAAGGAACGTGGGCCTAATACATTTCATTTAATGGCATTCTTTAAAACTTTTAGAGATTTCGAGAACTCTTTAAATTAAGTTCGCATTGATTTTTTGTGCTGGATCTGGGGGTATATAGACTGTTGCGATCGAGTAAGATTCGAGCTTCCTAGCCACCCACAACGTATTTACATGGCAGCCACTGGAAAGTCACTTGGCGCACCTAGTAGAAGAATAACAGCCGTTCCTGGGCGGAGGCGGAGAGCAGGCGCCACGATCTCTTGATGCTCACATACTGAACTAAAGCGCGTATGCTGATCAAGAAGCCAAAGGCGCAGATCAGCCACCAAAGCCAGGAGTTTTCGTGCGAAGCCAAGTCCGTTGAGTGCTTCACGATCAGCGTCCATTTGGCCAGCGATAGTCCGAATCCCGACAGTGCTCCATATCGGGCGGCAATTGTGTGACAAAAACAGGTAAGCATCAAGAAGCCAATCCAGTTAAACAGAAACGCCACAATAAAGGCCGTGATAAACATAATGTCCGTTCCGAGCAAGTTGTCCGTGGTGGACAGGCTGTTTTCCGGATCGCTGGCACCAATGGCAACGAATGTGATTGCCTGCTGAGCGGAACGCACAGCGTCGCCATCGCGCAGCGGATTTGGCGGCAGCAGCGGATTCGGAGGTGGTGGAAGCTGCTGTGAGGAGGGCAGAGTCAAAAAGGCGGGCGGCAGCTCTCCGTTTAGCGACTTCTCCATCTGCACCTCCTCGTAGGTGGGCAGCTTCCCGTGTATCTCCGGCGGCAGTTGTGCATTCATCAGGTCCGCCTGGCCCGGCAGCTGCACTTGCATCTGCATTGGAATCTGCATCTGACTGGGATCGGGTGTGGCTAGGGCCAGCGTTGGCATCTGAGCCGGCAGAGCCACCTGCTGGCCATGGCCCAGGTTGGCCTCGTACGGCGGCGGCGCACTAAAGTCAGCCTTTGGCGGTCCTAATTGATCGTCCCCGGGCGATGGTTGGTTGTTGTGCGGCATTACTGGAATTTGGTACAAAAAACAAGATAATAATATATAGATATAAGAAAAAGATGTAATTATTAGGAAAAGCTTAAGTTTAAGTCATGGGAAACTAGAATATGAGATGTTTTAAATATGTATGAACTTATTATATAAAACTCTTAATTTAATGAGTAATATACTCGTATGTAATTCTTATGTTATTTAATTTACCCATGTAATTAACAATCCATATCATGCGCTTCTGAAACAAACTATTACCATAAAATTGAAAATAAAGCTTGTTTAGTCATCGCTTTTATTAACGTTAATAGTTTTAAGATCTCTTAATAGAATTAGGTGTATAATAAATAAATGGGCGGCTAGCTGCCAAAATTGCATTGCGTTAAATCTAGATTTCGTTTTATCTTTCTCTCTCTGAGCAATCAGTTTTTGTTTGTTAATACTTGGTCTAAAATTTTTATAGGCACGTCAGTAGGCACTTAGAGCTACGGCATCAGCCATCTCAAGTTCATGGTTTCGTTAATAAGTTAAAATAAACAGTTGGACATGTTAGACATTCAAAAACAAATAAGCAGCCTGGCTTTTTAGTTATCGGGAGTGTTAGTTGCAGTGCCTGGGGCGATTGGGGGCTAGCGCCTGAACGTAAGCCTCCTCCAGCGATAGGATGCGGCAGGGTCCAAAGGGACGTCTCACTGGGCGCAAGGGTCGCAAACCATCCACCTCGTCCATCCCCTCGTTCTGACAGCCACCACCATCGGTCGAGGTGATAGCGCTGCTGTCGTTCAGCTTCTGTTTCTGTAGCTTCTCGTGTCGCAGGTACAAAACCACACAGCACATGGCCATTAAAAGAAGGGCCAACGTTGCTCCGCTTACAATACTGGCCTTCTCCAACATAACCCGATTCCTGGTGGGCAGGTAAGAGCCATCTATCTCCTTGTACTCGCATCTAGGTCCCATAAATCCCAAGGCACACTCGCAATTGTAGAGCATTTCATTGTGAATCTCCACCGTAAAGCAGGTGGCATCGTTTAGGCAATACCAGGCTGCATAGGTTGGTGGACAGGCGAAGATCGGAAAGGTGACATTTGGCCTTGGCGTTGTAGTAATCTCTACATTATCCGGCGGTAGGATCGGTGCAGCTGTAGGCCGCGGCTTGGCGATGGCACGTGATGAGCAAGCAACGGTTAGCGTCGTACAAGCGCTGATTAATGCGATGGTAAGCAGCAGATCCTGGACTCGCATCTTGATCTTAACTCATATTAGCTTTACATAGGAATGTGGCTGAATTTCAGTGTGAGGTGTTTCGTAATGTGGTTTAGCTTTGGCTGGATGGCAGGCTGGCAGGCGGCTGCAAAACAAAAACGAAGTGCAATTAAAATCAACTCAAAAATGTAAACTCGTGTTCGGATTTGTGTGGGTTAATTGCCTGGCTAGCACCGCCAGCCGCCTCCTTCTCACAATTACAACCTATGCTCCGCGACCTAAGTGAGAACGAGAAACAGAAAATCGAATTTCATAAATTTTTTAACAAAAATGTCATCTTTTATTTACCTGGCCGGAATAGCGAGCGAAACCCAAACGGCTGTTGTATTTGCACAGTTTGCATTTATTTTCGAGAATTTTTTTTATTTTCTGGTTACACTCTCACTTAACATATCGTTCACTTCAGACACTTCAATATATAACAACTTTTTATGTTATGTATTTAAATACAGAAAAAGTAATAAACTTAGCTTTAAGGTGCTAACGAGAAAGGTGTTTGCTTTGGCTAGTTATTCACGAGATTTCAAGTGCTTATAAAGGTGAAATGAAGAATAATTTATCTACTTCAATCGAATGTAACTGACACCACTTCCTTGCTTACAATACAAACAAATGATAACGATATGTTTATATCTGCCAAAATGATTTTCAGTTTTTTTCCGCTGAAATCAAAATCCAATGTTTTTAAAGCTAAAATGCTATAACATTCAAGTGGGCAGACAAATAAACAAATTAGTTTCCGTATTTGCGGTGATTTAGCATTGGCCATCAGCAAGCCCATAAAATCAATGCCTTAGTCAGAAACACTAGATATACATAAATGCTGATTGAATAAATGGTAAATACAAGTAATACAGATAAATAAATAATAAAGTAAAACAAAGTATTACAAAAATATATTCTTTGTTAAGTTATCAACTTATTGTTAATGATTCTAATCATTCAAACGAATTGGAATTTGTTAATCAATGATAACGATGCTAACGAAACTGTCTAACATTATATATACGAGAATTAATGAATAGAATTTAACCACATTATATCAATTAATATATATATTCTTTAAACAATACATTTTACTGTTGTTAAAAATGTTAGTTGTATAATATATTTTATATTATTTCAAAAATTATTTTAGATTTTAATTTCAACCGTGTTATGTTTGATAGTTGTCAACTATTTTTTATAAAAGTAAATAAATGTGTTACATTTTTAATCACAAGTCATACCAGTTTTTGTTACAAATATATTTAGATGGACTTTCGTCACTAGACTGGACTACGAGCCACAATGGAGAGTCCTTAAACGGAGCAGGAACGACTTTGTTATAAATAAGCCTACAAACCCAAGCTCCAAATATCTTTCTCTTTTACTTCCAACATATACACACATTCATCTACGCCTAAAAATAACAACAATAGTGCGTACGTAGTGAAAGTTGACAACTGAAAAGGCTGGAGAAGAGCAAGAGTACGAGTGAGACAGTTTTAAAGTCGCAAGATACAAATACAATTAGGTTGACCTTTCGGTCAATTGAAAAATAAACTCAGCTGAATAAGCAATTTAAATATTTCAAGCTACTAGAAAACTGCGTGAGTGCACCTAAGTTGTGCCTAATTTCTGCGAGTGGAGGCTTACATTTTAGTTTTTATTAGTATGTGTGTGGGTGAGCCGAACGTAAGCTTGAATAATGAGCTAATAGACGCCAACGAGCTAAATGAGCACCTGAGGGCTCATTAAAAATAGACTTTACACAAATAAAAAGTCACAGAAAATTCAACAAATTTAAATATATTACATCTCAAACCACATATCAACATTTCAATAATCGTTTATTTCTTAAGTCATGTTATTAAAATATGTGAAAACAAACAGAAGTATTGACATAATTTTTTCCTGTGTAATGAGTGTAGAAACATAAGGCACAAGAATAACAAACAGAAGGTTTAACGGTATTGATAAGGTGACGAATACAATCCACAAGTGCTGAACGCAAGTAAATGTTAGGGTAATTACAGTTACCTGCGAATGAGTCAGATGTGTAAGCATTTGAAATATCGCAAAATTGCATGGCTCCGACAGCGATTGTACCAAGTACAGTCGTACTTCGAGGAGTTTAACCACCTTTTGAAAGGTGAATATTTTTTAATTACAGGATTTTTTACTTCAAAATTTTGTGTAATAAAATAACTCATTTACTTTTAAGACTTCAGAATAAATCCACTTAAAGTAAAGACTTGAAACTTATTCAAGATTTAATTGCTTTTATATTTACTTATTCAAATAATTAAACCAATGCCAAAGTATTTATGCGAGTCTTATCAAAATCACTAAAAACCGGTCAAGTACGCATATCATTTACATTACAGTATAACCTTAAACTTTAATCTTTGGGGTTTATTCGTCAACTTTATATTTTATATATGCGGCTGAATATATTTTCTTTTATAATACTTTCTTTAAAAACAATATATAAATGCAATTTAAGTTGAATAACTATTTAACTTAAAAATTGTATAATACTTTTAAATCTTATATTTACGAAAATTCTTGATAATTTAAATATAAAAGCATATGTAATATTATCATGACATTTCGTGATTGATTAGTTTTTTTGTAAGTTCCTAAGTTCTACTGTAACTCTGTAGCGTGTGTGTAAAAGGAAACAGAAGAAGAGGAAAGAGAGAGAAGGGAGTAGGTGAAGCTGAAAGGGAGAAAGCAACAGGGCCATGACAAAAGGCGTTGGGAATTAGCAAATCGCTGTGGAAAAGTAACAACGCAGTTTGGGCCAGGTTTTGGATTTCAGCCGGAGTTTGTTTGTTGATAAGAAATTTGAGCGCGTGGACAGCTGCCAAGCAGCAGCAGGTGTGCAGGGGCAAAGAGAAAGAGAGAGAGGTATATCACTGGAATATAGTAAGAAATAAACCAGTTAAACGGGACCAGAACCACAAAAGAGAGCATAAAGATGCAAGCGGAAGACGCAGAAGAAGATGGAAAGATGCAGATGGAAGCTGTCTGAATGGAAGGTCTCTCAAGGGGCAATTTCCTGGGTTGAATGAAAAAATACAAACACCTACAACTGCATTGGCATTGGTATTGCAATGGAATAGAGAAAGAATAAGAACGGATCGACGGAGAGAGGGGACGAGAACGAGTTTCCAAGCAAACGGGGCTTGTTGTTATTGTACAAGGGCAAACGAATTAATTTACTTGAGTAAATATGAATTAAATAAGCAAGTACACCGACACACAGTCAGACTTATCTAAGTGTGTACTCTTTTTTAGCATTTAGCACCTGAGTGGCGAAATCCCAGCAGTATTAAGATTATTAATTTGCTAAACAAAACATAAACACATGTATACAAAAACGCACACATACACGTAAGGAGTGGGTAAAAGAGAGCCTTGGCTCTCCTGGATTACTACTGTAACTGTTATTTGTTTCCCCTTCTTTGCTTTGCCTTTTTCTATTTTTGTACTAGATTTTAATTCGATTTGATACTATTTTTCCTTTTCTGTGCCATGTTCTATTTATTCACCTTGTTTTCTTCTATGCGTTGGTCGATTGCGTTTGCTTTTCTCTTTTGCGCAGCGCTCTCTCACGTTTCCGTTTTATTGATTTTGTTCGAAATTTTGTTGCCAAACACACACACAGATAATACTGTTGGTTTTTCGGCTGCACAGCGATAGTCGATAATTGGTCTTCGACTAGCTTCACTGTTTGCAATTAAACTAATTTAAAATTGGGCTCACTCCGCGAGCGAAGCGAAAAAAACAAATGCACCAGGAAAAATATCTTCGATTTCTGAGCTAGGGGTGGCCTTCTGCATTTCTTATCGATAGTAGGAATGATCTATCGAATACAGGCAAACAATTAAATCGATTTTACAGTTTTTTAAGAAAATTTAGGTAATCAGCAATTTATCACCTGGTAACACTGCTAAGAAAATTTTGTAAACAACGACGTGGTCGTAGTAAATTGAATTAGAATTTAATCATAAATATGCATCAATATGTGGTGTTTCTGCTCATGGCGTTAAGTGTAAGTTAGTACATTTGCTATAACTTTTTCAAAATATTTATTTTACACTTTGCAGTGCCAGCAAATCCAAGCGGAGTTGTCGGGCGCCGAATGCCGGGAATTGGGATTCATAAAGGCCCAGTTAATGTGCTCCAGTTGCGACAAACTGGACGATTTTGGACTGGATACCATCAAGTTAGTTAAATAATATTACAATATTGTACAGTAATATAGCATTGACATTTTTAAATAACTAACGAATGCAGGGATTGTATGACAAACAACTATACATATTTTTTTAGGACTAAACTTAGAAGGTTTTTAAATCATTCATTAAATGTATTATCCTTAATGTATAACAAAGTTAGATAGTTATGTCTTAATATGTATAGTTACTTGTTGGTGTTACGACATACGTAACTATGCACATGGGCTGTTTTTAATACTTTAACATTGTGAAGCACTAAAGGCTTAAGATTATACATTTTCAGACCCCATTGCAAGCAATGCTGCACTTTGGATCAACAGCCGGCGGCCCAGCGAACTTATGCTAAGGCTATTTTGGAGGTATGCACCTGCAAATTCCGGGCCTATCCACAGATTCAGGCCTTCATCCAAAGTGGCCGTCCTGCCAAGTTCCCCAACCTTCAGATTAAATACGTACGGGGCTTAGATCCAGTGGTCAAGCTTTTGGATGCCAGTGGTAAGGTTCAAGAGACGCTATCCATTACCAAGTGGAACACGGACACCGTGGAGGAGTTCTTCGAAACGCATCTGGCCAAGGATGCCTCTGGAAAGAATTCCTACAGTGTGGTAGAAGATGCCGAAGGAGATGACGATGAAGATTATCTGCGTACCAATAGGATTTGAAATTAGCATTCTCCAAAACAGTAGATTAATAAATTCAGTAGAAAACCATAATTTTTCATAAAAAAAAAAACAAATTGAGTCATGGAATAATTGGGATAAACAAAACTGAGGTGTTTCTCTCTCTCATTATTAATTTAATAGAAATATTACAAAAAATAACTTAAGCAGTGCGTTGTTAATCGTTTAATTCATGGAAAAGAGTCAGACCTATATTATTAGATATTAGGAGGGAACTTCTTATTAGCAGTTTATCGCAGTTTAGTATTAATTATGGAAACACAATTTTAATAGTTATAATAAAGGGAGAAAGTTTATACAATTTTATTTAAGAAAATACTTTCCGTTTTTCAAAGTTTGTGTAAGTGCTCAATGTGCAGTTTTAGATTCACTGCCGACGAGCAGAGCTTTTGGCGCGCCATGGGAAAATATGAACAAACAGTTTGAGAGACATTCGGTTGATTGTACTGTAATGCGGCGCCTCTCGCTGGGAGTTCTTAATTCACGATTATAAATTAAATAATTTTATTTGTTATCTTGTTATCGATGGGAAAGGAAAGTTCCCGGCTGAGGCAACAAATACCTGGCATTGAGGTCGCAATTCTTATCGCAAAGACATCACAGTGGTGTGTACTTCCCCCCTCAACAAAACCGAGTAACAGACCCCCTTTTCGGGAACCGTCAGTAGTGACGTAGTGGGCTCACATGGTCGACGGGGGTCCTCAAGTCGATCAATATTTGATCAGCCTGTTGGAGTAATTGTGGTAACTGAAACAGCAAATAGCATATTTATGCCCGCCAAAATCGTAGCTGATGTCTATTTCCGATGTGTGACGCAGCCTTGACACCGCTCTCTTTCCGCTCTTAGTGTGTTTTTTTCATCCGGATATTGCGCATGATCAAACAGTTTCCTACTTAACAATGTTCTCTAAGTTTGTTGGTTATATATTTAACAATGTTTTGTGAAAGCATCTTACATACAGATAAAAATGACTTTTTTTAATTTTCAAAAATTCTCTTATCTTTAACAATCTTGATTAAATTTAAAAAAAAAGGAAATAAGAAAATATACTTTAAAATATCTGTAAAAAAGTCAATTGTTTCATAACTGACCCGCATAACAGAATGTTTATATAAAAAGTAATAAGCTAAAAGACGAATTTATGCAGGTAAACGTTCAGGAAAATGCACTTTCATAATATTATATGATGTTCTACAACCGATTAGGGCTTTGAAAAATGCAGCAATGCGAGCGAGATGAGAGAAAAGAGCAAATAAAATTGTTTATAAACTCTTTGCACTATCGCCTGTTTACGTTTCATTAGAATGCATATTTTTATTAGTATTCCTTATTTGCCGTCCTTGTTGTTGTTTATTGTTGTAATAAAAGTCGACTTTTCACAGTGGTACAAAAGGGCCTATCTTCTAGCCTAATAATATTTTTTGACAATATTTGAAATACTTTTGCTTCACTGTGATGGACCCTTATCGACAATGCCCTTGAAGGGAATGCAACCAACATGTGCCAATACAATCCAATCCTATCTCTAACGTCAATGCTGGGCCCCTATGATGCGTATGAATTATTTTTAGCCGCTGCTATCACACGCAGACCCCATCGTACTGATATACATATGTACAACATAAATATATATAAGTATGTATATGCAGGGACAACGTACTCCTAAATGTACGCACTTAGGGCACGTGCCCCGCCTTAAAGCAATAAGATACAATTATACCATTTCATTCTGAAGGATTCTAAGGGGTTTTCGTTGCGGGTGGCTGATATTAAATCACAATATGCAGAAGTCATTTAAAAATGTCTGAGGAATACAAACATAAAAATGCTTCATTCGCTTATAATAACTAATTAAAACCCATTTTATTCTTTTGTTTAATTATAATTTGTATTTGGTTTCCCAATAAACTAATTACTGAGTTATAGACATTCCAGCAAAAATTGTCATTTTCTGCTTTGCATATTGTTATCAATCAATAGAGAGGCGCTGTAATCAATACTAATTATTTGCTATTATGATTACTTCTGCGCACGCACACACACACACACACCGAGGTATGCATTACAATTGGAATCCGAGAGTCTCCTGCGTGCTTATCAATTGTGTGCCATATAAGCAACTGGGGTGCATTCAACTGGTCTGTGTTGCAAAAACTACGAATGTATATATATGTAATTATGTATATACTTTGCTTTCACTGTTGCCATCAACCAAGGAGAAAATCTTTTAAATTATAAAATTGTACAAGAGAAATTCAAAAATTTCGGAACGTGAGCAGCTTAGGGATAAATTAAACTTAACCAGATATACATATATTAAGAAAATATCGTAATGAACAAAAATCCTTTCAAAAATTTTATAAACAGGTGATTTTTGCAGTTACCACAGATTGAAAGTATTTTTAATATTTTTTTTTAAATTAATTTAAGGAAATATCTTGAGATTACAAAATATAACTTTTTTATTGAAAATATTCTATAATTGAGTAATTTTTCTACAATTGCTATTAAGTTTTCCCCTTTTAAGCGCATCTTTGTTATTTGGTTACTATTTGTCTGACCCCTGCTGTGTGTGAGAAATTTCTACGAATACGGCCAGTTGGCTATGGCAATAGCAGTATACAAAGTATAAAAACATAGAGTCGGCAACAGCAATGGCAATGTCCCCAAAGACCCCCCGGGAAGTGGAGAGATTGGAGGAGCATGGGCGGATGCCGTGCACTGGAGCTGAAGCCCCATGGTGAAGCTGAAAGCTGAATATAATGTCGGCCGATTCTGGGTATGGATTGCGGATTGGAATCTGTTATTGTTGTTGCTTTAATGCCAGTGCTGATAACATTTGCGCCTTTCAAGTGGCTTGGGGGTGATAACGATAATGACGTTATCGTCACAGCGTCATCACTTTCAGCCAACTCCCAACTGCCAGATTTAATTTCATGCCATTTTAACACTTCATTTATGGTCTAACATGAACGAAAAATAATAATAAACATCTTGATATTTCGCCCTAACGTTTTCCGTTTCGGTTTCTGGCACTTTTAGGTAGTACAGTCGTACCCCCCAATAAGCACAACCTCTGTTAACATTTTAATTAAACATGCGAGTGTGAAAGGTAAACATAAACAGCAATAAAAGCTGGCGAAAACATTTCAATTAAAATGCTTCGATTTTCGGCTGTAAAATTGATTTTTAGCAAAGAGGCTTGACTGTATTGGCTGGTTCTTTTTTTTTGGTTTACTACATGTGGGGTTTGCCCTTTACCGTTATACCGCTGATATCAGCTCCCCCACGCAAACCATGCCGTTCTCTCCATATTTCCCATCTCCACTGTCAATGTACAGAGAAAAAATTATTTTGTTTTCTAAAAATATACTTATTCCGACAGTAAATATAATATTTTCAAACTTAATACATTAATTTTTTTAACGCAAGAGTATTTAAAAAGAAAAAACATTTTATGTTTCATACTTACTGTTAATACCCAATTAAGGCTATAAATATGTGATACCAACTTACTTTCTGTGTTGCTTATTAGTTTCCAGCTTCGGCTCTCTTTCTTGTTTATAAACTTCTGGCTGTAAAGATCGAAAACTTGATTTTGGAATTACGCGCAGCTTGTTTTATTTTCCTGCTTGTTTTATTTATTAAACCAAGCTGACGTCTTACGCATTTTGGTGAATATTTATTTTTATTCTGTGCTCTCGTGCTCTCTAAAACCCTCTCTATCGTGGCACATGTGCAAATATGTACCAAGCTGTCTGGAAAAGTAGTAGAATTTGAAAGAGGAGTATTTCGAGTATTTCGCCGTAGTGCCTTCCTCCAGTTATTCAATATTCCGCATTGAACTTTGACTACTAAATTTAGCACTCACAAAACACAAACTGCGTCGCGCTTATTAACAAAGACACAAACTATTCACTAACATACACATACAAACTTTTCAGAGAGCGGGTGAGCAATTAATAAATGTGCTTGATTACTATTTTTCCTATAAATTTACATAATTTTACGTGCCATTATTTGAACACCAAGAAATGCAGTCGCCCACGTAAATGGAATTTTGGATGAACAGGTGGTTGAATTTTTCAGTACACAGAAAAAATAAGTAGGATTAAATTAAATTGAATACTTAAATCAAAGCTCGATCATTTTTTTCTGGACTTTAAAATCAAATTTAAGATTTATTTGAAACAAATAACTGTGTTATTACATTGAATATAATCTTATGGCGTATTATCCTCGGTTTTGCGATTTTTGTTGCTGTTCTTGATGTACCGTTATTTTTATAAATGTAATTATATATTACATACACAATTACTTAGTACATATCGTATAATAATAATAGTATAATTTATAATTAGCATTTCTCTCTCACTTATCTAGTATTATTATAATTCTTCAAGATTTTTGTTTTATTTACGTGTATATTTTAACACAAAACAGCAGAGACAAATGTTATCGATCTATATATATATATATTTATTTGCGCGTTTTCCCACATAAATTACATTTTTAAATTACATTTATATGTATTTTTCTTTTTTCGTCGCTTTTTTTGTGTTTTGCTTGTAAACTTTTTCACGTTTTTACCTCGTCTCAATTAAATTTAGTTTATAACTAGAGTTTTACATCGATAATTAGAAAAAGGAAATCTTTTTGTTGGGGCTTTATTAGCAAAAACATCTTTGTTACTAATATTATAGTATAGTTATGCATACGTATAAGAAGTTCTGGTACTCGAATTAAATAAAACATTTTTATCTTTGCACTTTTGAAGCTTTTTTGTTTTGTTTAGTTTTTTTGTATCCCATTTTCAAGATTTTGTTACATTTATTAAGTAGATTTAGACTCAATGATTTGTGTGTATGTTTCACGGGGGTCGTATTATTTATAAACAGTATATATTATTCAGGGTTTAGGATCGCATTATCCTAGCTATATCATTCTCCTTATTGTTGGTTGCAGGCCATAAAGCTTTCATTGATTTGATTCTTAAATATTTCTTTGTTTATTTTCGTAATAAAATGACTTGAAAAACAACGGATTTAAGTTGGTTTTGGGTATTATGGTAGTAGTAGTTGTAGTTTCATGCTCGATAATTAACTTTTCGGAAAACGTTTTTTTTTTTGTTTCTTGGAAAAACCTATCTACTATTTGTTAAAGACTTGTAAAAAATTCCTTTAAGTTTTATTTAGTTTTTGAGTTCGATTTTGATTCTTGTTGGTTTCGTAAAATTTGTCGGAGCAGATCTCTGGAATACAAAATTCCGTTTGTAAACTGCACTTGTGCCTGGACTATCAACTTTATATCATTAGATATATTTTATTTAGCTATATATATGCATGGTTATATACTCGTTTAGTTTGTGATACTGCGTTTATGAAGAAGGATCTCGAATATACATCTATCTATCGTTTGGTATTCGAAAAGTGTTCGCGGGTAAGGGGCTTTTCTTTGAAGACTTTACAGCACTGAGGGGGTCGGTTTTCTCGATATCGGCATCTTAAACTCTAGTAATTGCTTCGACGGCACATTGGGATTACAATATAGGTAGGGTTTTACCGATATATATGTGTAATTAGCTAACTATTTTTATGGATCAAACAAACAAACGGAAAAAAGATAGATGGCATATCCGATTGGATAGATTTCCGGAATTATTTTGCTACAGAGGGGGGCGGCTTTCATCTAAATCCGTCCTCTTACCAGATTTCTTTATTTTCGTATAGAGAATATAATTTTGGTCGTTGGTCTAAGACACTTTTTGGTTTCAATCCTTTTCGCTTTCTTCCCTTTAGATTTTGTATTATATACAGAAATTAGAGCTTAAGTGTGTAAATTGTATAGTGACTTATGTGCGTAGTTAAGTAAAATCTGAGACTCGCTGTAAAATATGTTTCGCTTTTTCAGGGGTGCTAGGGATTTCTTTTTTTTTTTTTTGAGGAAAGAGGGTGTAAAAAGACACTCAAGTACACTTAGGGGTTAACGATTCATTTCATTTTTTTTTTTTTTTTTAGTTTTTTGTAAGAGCTAGCTACGAAAGCACGGACGATAACGAATTAACAATATTGAGGCCTGTTAGTAAACTTTCATTTTCACCATGAATTTGCGGAAGTGAAATTATATATTATATAACCTTCAATCACCCTCGTCAACATTTCCGAATTTATATTAATTCACATTAGCTTGTGAATCATTCGCTTAAGTAATATGGCATTTAATCGGGAAATTTATATGAAAGTTCATAAAAAACTGAATTCACTTCCTCATATTTGTGTTGAAAATGAAAATCCCACAACAGTTGTGATAACGACGAAATATTAAAAAAAGGCTTGCAACCTAGAAAAAGAAGTTGCGCACTTCCTCGTCCAGGTCACTGGAGTCCACAAGGTCATCCATCACACCAGACACCAGCAGTTCCACCACTTCCAAATCTTTCTTGTCCTTGTCGCTATCGTGGGCTGCCTCGTCAACTGTTACAATTGCTGCTGTTGCGGCGGCCTCCACATTGGCCACCTGCTCATCTGCCAGCGCCTCCGATCCCAGTAGCGCCTGGTAGTCGTCCTCCAGCAGCACTCCGCTTTCGATGGCCGCAACAGCCTCCTCATAGTATCAGTTGAGGTCGCGCCGAAAACTATCCTCGATGTTGGGATCGGCGATCATGATGGGATTCTGGTCGGACAGCATCTGCAGCCCGGCTACGTCCATCTGGCCCAGATCTAGGTCCAGGGTGTCGAAGATCTCCCTCGAGAAATCCGCATTGGAGGAGTAATCGCTGAAGATAATCGAGGGTATATTCGCTGTGGTCGGCGTGTGACTTTGCGAGGATCCCTGGTGTTGGTGATGCTGGTGCTGATGTTGCTGTTGCTGCTGGTGGTGGTTCATCACCACATTAGAGTTGGAGCAGGCATTGTGACTCACTGGCGAGCTGCTCGATAGCGGTGAATTCCCATGGTGGGGCGAATGCATCGGCGAATGATGCGGCGAATGGTGCAGAGATAGCGATAGTTGTTGCTGCTGATGGTGTTGCTGTTGATGGTGGTGTTGTTGCTGCTGCTGCTGATGGTGGTGGTGATGCTGTTGTGGCGATGCTTGTGCCGACATGGGTATCGGTAGCGGTGAGCTCGGACATCCCAATGGTGAGGGCACAGGCGAAGCAGCTATGCCCAAAGGATCCTGACCCGAACCACCACCACTACTGCTATTGTTGTTCCCCGCTCCGTTTAGATTTGTGCTGCCATTGTGCGTGGATCCCACACCATTGCTCAATCCGTTGTTATTCAGATTGCTCACTCCTCGTCGCATATGGTTGTTGTTCCCACTCGACTCCGGACTGCCGCTCAACTCACTGAAGTCCAGCATATCTGGCTTATTGTATCCATTGGTCAGGCCTCCCCCATTACTTCCATTGCCTCCACCTGAAACACCACCGCCTCCACTCAGGTCGTCAAAGTCCAGGGCCACAAAGTTGTTGGCGAAACCCTGTTGTTCAGGTGAGGAATTGCTGTCGCCCAGCGAGAAGATCTCAAACTGATTGTGAAACGAGGTATTCAGACTGTTGTAGGAGTTATCAAACTGTTGCTGTTGCTGGTGCGTCTGCTGCTGCTGCTGTTGTTGTTGTTGCTGCTGCTGCTGTTGCTGGACCTGTTGCTGCTGGCGTATGGGGCTGGCCGGTGCACTGGAGTGCAGATCCGTCGCCGAAACGCTGCTCAGCAAACCGGGTGAAGAGCGTGGACTAGGAGGATTCGGTGGCTGGCGGTAGTCGGTGGCATTGTGTGGTCCCAACGTTGGCAGCGGATTAAATGTGGAGACAGCTGCCTGCGTGGTGGCCAGATTGGTGAAGGACAGGTGCGGCGAACTGCTGGGTTGTTGTTGTTGTTGTTGCGTGTTGCCGGTGGGCGAGTGCTGCTGCTGCTGATAAGGTGATCCAGGTCCTGCTCCACCTCCTCCACCCGCCGGACTAAACGGACTTGGCGACTGATCCCGATCGCGGCGGTGATTGTGCGGTGACATGACAGGCGATAGAGTTTGCTGTAATTGCTGCTGTTGCGTGTGCTGCTGCTGGGATTGCTGTTGCTGCTGGGGTCCATAGGTGTGTAGGGCCGTGAGATCGGGCAAGGAGCCGGTGTTGGCAAAGTTGACCTGATCCTGCAAAGGCCGGAACACAGGATTCGCAAATTTGGCGTTGTTGTATGGCGTGTTCTGTTGATGCTGCTGTTGTTGTTGCTGCTGCTGTTGCATCTGCTGCATTTGAAGCTGCTGATGCAACTGGTTCTGGTGTTGCTGCTGCATGTGTTGCTGCTGCTGTTGGAGCTGCTGCAGTTGCAACTGATGGGGTTGCAGTATCGGTGACTTCCTACGTTGCGCCTGCGGGCTCAGAGTTCTGTTTATCCCATGGTGCGGTGAGTGAGATCTTGGCTGGCCTGATTGCTGTTGCTGATGTTGCTGCTGCTGATAGTTGCCACCCATCGAGTTGACATCGTTGAAGCCCGCCACAAGCGCGCTCTGGTGAAGCGCGGAATCAGAGCTAGAGCGCCGCCACGAATTCTCCGTCGTGGGCGGACCGAGAAGATGCGGATTTAGTTGGCCATTGTCAAGGGTTTGTTGCGTGCTGCTGCTGCCATAGGGCGAACGATCCTGCTTGCGTTCCGAGGGTCTTCGCATAGGTCCTACGCCAACGCTACGTCCCCGGGATTCCCGATAAGCCGTCGGTGAACCACCTCCACCACCCAAGCCGTCAGGCGAGGCTCCTCCACCGCTGGCTCCACTTCCAGAACCACTGCCACCGCCGCCGCCTGACCCATTGCCAGCTCCTGGTGAGGATTGGCTCACTTCCTGCCCGCCGCCCAGGCACTCTAGGATCTTTTGATTCGCCGGCGGTTCATCCCTCTTCGTGGCATACACCTCCTTCATAATCCGCTCGAATTCCGCCGTGCCCTCCGCCTGCTTTTGCTTCTGCAGCGCTATCTTCTCGCTGAACTTCCGCGGATTGGCCATTGTGGAGGATGTGTCTCTGTAGAAGGAATCTATTTAAAAATCTGGTAATAATTCAATATTTAATGTCTGGCTTAGAGGAATCGGACATTATAAGTTTTTGCATTCGTTTTGCTTTTGCTTAGCGAAAGAAAAATATTTGAGTTTAACAACTTCATGCTCTTTAGTACCTAATCTAATTAGCAAGTGATAAAACTTTAAGTTTGCATTGCTTATTATAAGTTAGTACATAGGTAGGAGGAATTAGTTAGTTTGATGGAGTAATAACTTGTTTTGAAGGCATACTGGGAATTCTAGAATACTTTGAAATGATTTCTAAGCTAGTTACATTTTACCTGATTATTAATATTTTTTTATTTTTTTTTATTTAAATAAAATGTTAATTTTTTAATTGGTTTTTTAACGATTAAACTTATGTTTTAAGTACCAAAAAGTATCTCAATGAAAATATCAATTGAAAAAATATTTTATCGATACTGAAAGTATAAAATTCAAATTGGCGTATAAAAACACCTTTATCTCACGCCACTCTGCCACCGTGAAAATGTGTAGTCGCCAATCTGTTGCCATAAGCTAGCTCATCCATCTCAAGGCATTTCCGCTCCCTGAGCGCACACCTTTTATCCATATTTTTTTTTTATCATCTGCCGGCGAAGGGCATGGTAATGTTTTGACAAGGGGGTGGGAAGGCGTTCGTGCGGCATCCACCCGTCTGTAAGCCCCCAACCCACCCCTTCGCCCATTCTTGTTTTATCAATTTGTCAGTCGAGCGGCTTGCTGATAAGCCAGATACAGATACAAAAACAGTCGCCCCGTTTGTCCGATTCCCAGTCGGAATTCGCATTCTCATTCGGATTCGGCATCGGAATAAGAATCCGAATCCGATTCGGGTTCGGATTCAGGTCCACGCCATGCGTAGTAATGTTTGCCCGGTTGTCCCGGTCTCAGAGGGCGCTCTCCTCCACTCACCACTCTTCTCTCTTCACTCAATTTCAATGCCATTGCATAACGAGTGTCATATGTACGAATATGTGTACATATGCGATATATATCTGCCGAGTGATTTCAAAAAGGGCGGGAAAATGCGACGAGCAGGGCGCAAACAACAAGTTTTTATAGTTCTTTCAAAGCAACTGTTTGGGGTTTGGTTTTGGGGTCCAAAGTCTTGAGTAAAGGGAGAGGTTTACCGGGGGGCTTTTCGTCGCCACCTGCAGCTGCATTATGCAAATGTCGCGAATTGCGTAGCAAACGAAAAAATCATTTTTTTGTTTCATTAATTTATTCCGGTTCCGCGGCAGTGCAAAGTTGAGGCTTTCAGCTTATTATTGTTTTTATTTTTCTTTTTCTTAAACTCACAATTGAAGGGCATTTCAGAAAAAAAAACAACAAGTTGATGCCACGTTTTCCCAAAATCTGAAACATGAAGCTCATATTATGCTCTAAATATTTGAAGCTTCCTCTAGACTTAAACCATAAACCAGTTTCACAGCTTTTGACAACTTTTCGATCGATCGTTGATGATGATGATGATTATACTCGTCTTATGCGTTGACAAAAGCCTGAAATGGTGACCAATAACCGCACAAAAAAATCTAAGCTAGCTAGAAATCAAAAATTGCTCTTTATCTTTTGCAAAGACATAAAAATATGGGTTCTCGGATGGGTTAAGTTCTTATCAGACGGTAAACTTATGTACCTACATAGTAAAGTACACTAAGAATTATTGGTAAAAATATAAGCAAGATTTCAATTTAATTACTAAGTTAATTGGAATCAATATTAATTACTATACTATGCTCTCTAATTATAACTAAATAATAAAATACTAAAACCGAACTGTGATAAGTTGGAATATTACTCATTATGTGTAAATTATTTTTTTGTTTGGTCTTAATGACTATTAATGTTTGTATGATTGATATTACTCATTAAAAGACATTTTATAGAATTCTTTGAGTATATAAAAATATATAATAAGACGTTGAAAAATAAACGATTTTAGCCAACCTGGAATAGGTTGTTAAAGGTGGGAAATTTATACACAGTGAATAGAAATTCCTAACCGCTAACTGATTGAGCCGCTCAAGTTCCCACACTTTTATTAAACCCAACCCCTAATTCAAACCCTCATTAATTTCAACCATTAGCTAATTTAACCTTATCGATTTCTTATTCAGGTTAAGAAAAGAATGGCTCAATTAAATCGATTAAGGTAATTCCATTTGATAGAACCCTAATTTCTCAGCTGTTTCTCATGCATAATTTTCCCCTGCCTTAGGTTTTTTTTATTTGCTTAGAATTTTCTCGGAATTAGCGTTATACTTTAAATGTTTGGTATAAAAACTTTGGTTTTGTTGGTAAGTTATTGTGGACGTGTTAATTCTAGCTAAATGTTGACTCATATTAGATATCGTAACTTTATTTTTCTTTATGCAGGGTGTGAACACATCGCTTAGAGATATACCCAGAAAATTAAATGCATTATTTCTTTGAAAAAATACCAGATAGTTATTGTTGAAAACGCGAAATGATAATTACATACATACATATATTAAAAGGTTGGTTTTACTTTTAGTAAAATATAAGATTTTCTTAAGTAAAAATATTAAATAATTAATAAGACAGTGAGTATCTACGGTTTTGTGAAATCTCTTTCAAATTTATAGTTTCCGAAACCACCGGATAAGTACCTTTAAAGTGGGACTGACTTGAAAAAAGATATAGCATCTGACTTAACGTTTTAAATTATAAATTTTTATAAACCTTTAAAACATTTTTAACGTTTAAATTATTTTGTAATATGCAACGACATAAATTAAATCTTTATTCGCGTAAAAATATGCCTATAGTTTTGCTTATCAATATCCAAATGAGTCTTAGCATTTACATTCAAATGAGTCCCACTTCGTGACCATCTCCATGTCTCATAGAACCCTATGAGATGACTAATCGCGGCAGATATCGGAAGTGTAAGGCCCATTATGGCTAAAACGCGATGCAGGAGCAAAGAGATTTGAAATGCGGCTCACACTTTTGGCCGAGGCGGCAATTGCGGCCATAAAAAGGCCGAGCACGCCTCAAACTAAACAAAGGTAGATAATACTTTTTGGGAGAAGTTTTTTTTTTTGGCATTTGAGGGGGAGGTAGGTATTTAAAAGGAGGGGTGTTGATGGGCAAAGCGGAAATATTCCCACGAATCGGTAATGACATTTAATAATTATTTAATATACTACGACCCGATAAAATAGTTGAGTGAACAAATATTACACAGGAAAAAATCCGCAGAATAATTTTGAATCATAACATTTTAACTTAATTTTATTAATATTGTACAATAATAAAGTAACCATATCTAAAATGATTCATATAGATAGATTAACTCAAATTTCACAGATGACAAAACAAAATATTTTTAGTAGCTTGTTTTTACTTGCATAGAAATTTTATGATTAATTTGATTATTATTATTAATAAGAACACTCAATGTATAATTAATTATTTCTCTTTCTAAAATTTTCTTTCTCTGCATTTGAGTGTGAATGGCCTATTTTCCCGAGACTCTCTTTTTCTTTTATGCTTTATACTTATCCATCTGCCTGCCCTCTCTATTCTCATTTTTTCCTTTTACATTCCTTTCATGCATTTGTCTCCTGGGGAATCGCTTATCAACCGTTTTTTTTATAGCCACACGCGTTACTTGGAATTTTTGAATAATTTCCGATGTTTGTTTATTTATCGCGCGGCGCAACCGCAACAGTTGAAAGGAAAAATGAAAAGGAAGGGGGACAAAACATTTGCAGAAAAGTGTGCGAAGCGAAGAGGCGGCAAAAACAAAACGAACGGTTAAGAGGGGGTGGGGCGGAGGCGTTACTTACATTCTCTCTCGTTTGCCGCTAACTCCAATTGGATCTCTCGCTCTTTCTCTTTCTGTCGGTCTTGTGCTATGCAAATTGAATTCTTGCTTGATTAAAATCACATATAGATGATTTTAATTTTTTGGCGCTTTTTTTCTTGTTGCTGTTGTTATGGTTATGGCCTTTTGCGTTTTTTTGTTTTGCGTCGCCTGATAAAACCAGATTTGATTTTGAGTTGTTTGCGAGCCGAGTTGTTAAATCCGAAAATCGGTTTGTTGGGGATTATTTTAACAACTGATTGTTTTTTTTTTTGCTTTATTTCGCCTCGCTCTTACACACACACATACATCCGCACGCACACTGGGAGAGCTTATTGTTTTAACGCAAAACTGCGACGTTGTTTTTTTTTTTTTATTTTGCGCTCTCAGCTGGTTGGCACTTTTTGCGCTATTTTTTTTTTGGTTACCGCATGAAAAGTGAAAAACTTTTGTTGCGCCTTTGACCTCTTTTCACACAGGCACACGCACAGCCACAAACACACACAGAGTGTGTGCCTCCAATTGGGAGTCCAATTGGGATTACAGCACGCAGCAAAAGCGGCGGCGTCGGCCGATTCTATATTGCATTTCCTTGATTTCTATATATTCTTTGCTCCGATTTTTTGGGCTTTTGTTTTTCGCACACTAATGGGAAAGCTCACCAATATAGACAAAAACACAGAAACATACACACACAGGCACGCGGGGCGGTAGATTTTTTGCGGGCAACGGGACTTTTACCGTTGTGCACACTCACTTCGCAGCAATCTCGTATTCTTATTTTCGTTTATTTCGCGTTTTTTAATGCCCCTATTTTGCTCTGCTGCACTCTCTCAATCGCACAGAGAACAACTTATTATTGCTGCTGCTGCTGCCTCGCTTCTTCTTCTTCGCTCATCTTCGTCGCTGCGATGGCTCTTCACTTTTTTCGCTTTGTTCTGTGGTTTTTCCGCTTTTTCGCGCACGCCGTTCCAATCTCTTATTTGTCGATCACTCTTTCTACTATTGCGCGTCGCGTTTTTCAACGTTTTTTGCACGTTTGTTTTGTTATTTTTCCACTTTTTCTCATATTTTCCTCTGCTGAGAACATTGCAGCAGTGTGACCAGGTGGTGTATGTGCTAATATTCACATGCCAGTATTGTCACCAAGCTTGCAAGGTATATCGATAGTGAGGAAACTTTAAAGCCGATAGTTTTGCTCCCTAAATAATTGTAAATATATTACTTAAATAAGAGGGAGAAAATATATGTGAAATGCGGTAATTTCATGCAGTTTTCCGTTATATTTAAGTATTACAATATCGCTGCGAAGCTCTCCAACGACTTTTTTTTATTTGCGATAACCAATACAATTATTTCTATATATTAGAGAAAGATGATAGGGCCAATTTTGTCTAGTTTGTTCGATGTCATTATCTTTCTTGTATATTGCCTGATATAAAAAGTTTTTTTTTGCTAACCAATTTTGAAAAATTAACTGCCAATATAAAGTTTGCTAAAATTTACATATCGATTTTTAGACAGCTATTGGTGCGCGCCAATGCTATTAGTTTTGTGCAAGGGAGGGTGTCTTGGCTTGCAACTAGCCTCTGCTATGGGTAATGTCCCCGCTAGTAATGTCAGTAATTTTTAAACAAAATAAAATGTTTTCCTCTTATTTGTCTGATGTAGTAAAATGCGGAAAGAGGTTCGAAAATGTTTAAGCTTGAGCACTTAAACACTGTCCAACACTGTCATTTAACACGTATCTCTGTGTTTTAAAAATAAAGATTATTTTTATTTTAACTGTTGTATATATTAAATGTATGCGACTTAAACTTTTTTAAGTGCTTGTTAAATTGAAATTCCAATAAATACAATTTTCAATTTTTTATTTAAACAATGTAATTTATTAACAGACAAATTGTTTTAAAAATTTCATGTTGTTAATATTAAGCAAAACCAAGGCTTTACAATAGTGCCTTAGTTATCTATACAATTTGAATTTTTTATCAAACTCTGAATAAATGTAAAGATATTACATTAAACTACATATGCAATTTGGATGTTTATTCCCATCTTCTAAATCAAATGTTTACTATAAATTACAGATGTATTCAAAATTATTAATTTATACTTGGTGCAAATAAGAAAAAAAAAACAAAGCAACAAAATAATTTCAGCGTTGCACATTTTATTAATAATTTGTACACACTTTAAGTTAGATTTATTGTTATAAATGATTAATGAAAATAGAAATATTAAAAGTGGATTTACTTAACGATTTTAAATTTACAAAAATTAGGAAGCAATCAAATAAAATGTACCGTAATTTAATATGCCCATCAGAAGCTTAGAAGTAAATCATCAAAAATAATTTGGATTCTCGTTTTTCAGCGTTTAAATTGCATCAACTAACACATTCAAATGGCGTCCTTCCCCGTGTGTGCGTGCGTGCGGGTGTCTGTGTGTAAACGTCTGTTTCCCTTTCCGTTAACATTTTGTGTCTGGTTTCCGGCATTTTGTGTGCGCCATTTAAAATTGTTTTCCACGATACGAATCTCTCGCTCTTTCTCTCTCTCCCGCGAATGGTGAAAATTTTCGCTTTTCGCAGACACTTGAAGTAGGAATTGGAAGCAAATTGGCGGCCTCGGGGTTACGAAGACATTTAAGGGCCGAAAAGGAAATGGGGAAATAAAAAAGAGGGCCAAGTAGAAGGCCAAGAATTTGGCTAGCAAAAAAAATGCTAGGTAAATTGTGTGCAAGCGATAGAAATCTCTCTGAATACTTTCCCATTCTCTTTTTCTGCCATTTCCATTCAGAACAGTTGCCCCTTTCTTAGCCCTGTTTCCTTGTTTCCTAAACTCCTCAATTACCCTTCATTCTTGGCCATTTTTCTGCATTTATTCCTCCAATTTCTTTCATAAATACTTGGGCTCTTTGTGTGCTTAATTCATTCATCAAACTGTCAAATGAATGTCAAAACTAATAGAAGCCCTCCTTCAAGCATATTTCTACCACGAAAAGAAGCCACGAAAAGGTGCTCAATTATTGAAATGAATTAGTGGGCGCAAATTGTGGGTGGACTTAAGCTGATTTATTCTTTAGGGGCTTTATATCAAAATATTTTCATACAGTAAGTTCCTCGACAATAAATAGGGAGTAAGCTCTGTAAATGAACTTGGGCAGCTAATCATCATTTAATTTATTACAAAAAAATAAACGTGTATTATAACTAGCTGTCAAAGAACCAAAAGAAAATATTTCGGAATATATGTATAGTTTAATAATCAATGAATACTTTTTATATCTCATATCAGATATTATAGTTAATTTATAAAATATGGACTCATTATTTCCAATATGATGTCTAAATGGATGTCTTTTAATAAAGAAAATGGTTGATTAATAATTTATGTTCAAGATATTACCGTTTTGCATTAAAACCAAGTATCTCAAAAAAAGTGAATTTAACGGTGCTTCAGTATTTTCAGGAAACCAATTAAGTTGTAAAAATATTAAATATAATTAGTTAAATTAGGCAACGAAATCAATTTCTATCTTTCAATTTCTTAATGGTTTTTTTCCCCTCTGCATTCTCAGTTGCCAAACTCTTGGCCTTGTTCTTTGCCAATCAAGTATTATTTTCGTTTTCCAAGGAATCACAATCTCTAGTAATTGGACTGTTTAATTAGACAAACAGCTCTCCAAATTTGTGGCATATTAAATTCCAACTACGCCAGCACTTCATTTAACTTCTCTGAACTTTGAACCCAGAGCCGTAGTCGAAATTATCAGCGTTTCGCTGGCTTGCTATCATCTGATATCGCTCCATCACCCCCGCACCGAAGTGCTTGACATTATATGGCAATACTCCAAGCATTGATTTCCCTCATTTCAATCAGTCCTTCTTTTTCTCAGTTCAAGTCGGTTGTGTGTAAAATTTGTCGGTGGTTCAGTTGAGCGTTTGCATTTTTCGGCAGCGGTAACAATTAAAACCAACGACCGATTTGAAGAACGTTTAACGGTATATATACTATATCCTCCGAGTTGAAAATGTAATAAAAAGATAGCCAGCTGTGAAATTAAATTTTATTTCAAAGATAGCCGGCAAACAAATACTAATGGACGCCATTTGAAACAGAAAAATCTGCAACTGACAAGCCAGTCAAATACAATTGTTTCCCTCGAATGGCAATTTAATTGCTAAAAATATTTAGCATTCAATTTATATTTGGCGAAAATTTGTTTGTCTTATTTACCTTTTCTATTTATTTAAGTGCTTTAAATAATCCAGAGTTGAGTTTATTTTTTGTTGCGATTTTATTTTCTTTTTGTGTGTTGATTGAAAAGCTTTTTGGGATTTGCCATGATTCAGGATTAACTAAATCTTTAAGTGCTGTAGTCAAGTGACTGATTAGAAAGCAATCAAAAGGCAAATAAGCTGTTTACTCACGTTTTTAGATATTTTTTGGTGATAACACTATTATTATTAATTTAAATTGTACTAGACCTAGCATGGTTGCGATACTTACCAATAATCTTGATTAATATGCTTGTCATAGCTTTTTAAAAAGGTTGATAATTCAATTATCTTAAAAGAATTAGCTAACAACAATAGACACAAAAATCGATATAAATGTAACATTAAAAAATTAAGTGTGCTTAATAATGTACATTTGTTATATGAGTAGTAATTTTTAAATATTATTATGGTTTTTGTAATGCAAAAGATTTTTTGAACGCTAACATTATTAGACCAAAACATTAAATTTATTAATTTGAAAATGTAATAATAATTTTTAACTATATTTGATTTTAGGATTAACATGGTTTTCTCTAACTTGATTATTATTTTGGTCCATTCATTGTTTTTTGTTTTTACTAATAAAAATTTGTATCGGAAATACCATTTTACAAAATTAATTGACAGGATATAGAATTTGCACTAGCTTCCTCTGGGGCTTTCACCACCTATCCGAGCTCATTATCTTTCCTGCTTGTCGGTGTCCTTGCTTTTCTCTGGAAAAGTTTCCTTTTTTCTTGTATTCTGTGTTTGTTTTTGCCTTACCACAAAGGCAAAGAGCAGTTGCAGATAGACAATCGAGGAAAAGAGGAAGTGGACGAGTGCAGCGACAGAAAGGTCTTCCTTTCGAAATGTTTTCCCTGTTTTGTCTGTGCATTTACGCTCGTTTTCCCAGCCACACATCCTCGTTTTCCGAGTAGCTCTTTTCCTTTCCAGTCAGCTTTTCAACCACCCCACTCATTAAATGGCGCGTTAAGCGAGAAGAGAGCAAAAGTGAATGGCGGTAATGCACTTTAAGCTGCTTAATTGTTGCCAAATACTTGGGGAATTAACTGCACTCGAAGGAAAAGTATGGAATAGGAAATTCAACAATAAAAATGTTAAAATATAAAATTGATTTTATTATTTCTAAAAAGTTTTACATATTGGTTCATATATGTACAAACTGATTTGCGATTAGAAGCTTAAATGAATGAATAATATTTCTGAACCTTTTTTTCTAAGTGCATTAAGTCGAGTCTTTAAGGCTTGATCCTTGGAGAAAACTTGAAGCCTTCGCAGCTCATAAATCTTTAGCCGCCGCCATTCAAATCGCTCAATTGATGGCGCCCAACAATGGCTGTCAATACGATGCCTCTTCTGATGGCCTCCACCAAAAGATTTTCCTACATTTTTCCATTGTGTTTGTCTGTCTGCTTGCCGGGGGAAATGGAGCGGGATACATAGGCGAAGAGTTGGGACCATTGGAGCGTTAATAAGCCCGGCAATAACACCCATGGCATACAATCTATGCTGGTTGTCAGTCTCTTCTCAGAAAAAAGGCCAAGTCGGGGGTCAGATATATCAGATCGAAGCGACGTTACCAATTTGCTACTTCATGTGTAGTACAGCACTTGGCTCAGGCAGCTCGTATTTGATTTATTTAGATTTGCAAATGCAATCAATAGATTTTTACATGAATAAATATTTTTTATTACAGGCTATGAGCACAAAATTTGCTTCTTCTACAATAATTTTACATGTTTTCTATCAAAAGAATTTAAGTACTTAAGTAATTAAGTACATTAACGCAGTTCGAAGGTGCTTATGAAATATCCATCATATTATATATATTAAGTCTTAAAAGCTAATAAGTTAAATCAACAACTCTCCGTTATAAATTTCAAGTCAGAATATTATAATTTTTTGGACTGAGGCCAAAAAACATGTTTTTTTTCAACTTAAAAGTAAAAGTAAAGTTGTATTAAATAAATATCAAAATGAGAGTAACTAACCACCATTAAAAACTTTCTAGGAAGTTCCACCCCTTTCTGCTTGTCTTTCTAATAAATTGACGGAATAAAGGCTAGCCAAAGGCCAAGTCGTAGCGTTTGTGTTGGCCCACTCGATCCTTTTGTTTTGTAGTTTATGCGCCAGACAATTGCATTTCACTCCAGCCGGGATCGTGCTCCTTCACACAATGGTCTCTCCAAGAAGAAGCCCCTTCATTGTATTAATAACTTGATGCCGCCTGAATTGAAAGCAAATTTTCTAATCCTACGTTGCAGCGCAGAGGATGGCAGAAATCAGAGGATGTTCCCACTCGCGGCTTCAGCTATATATATTTCTCGGCCTGTTGGCATCGGTGTTTGCTTCATTACCGGGCGAACTCCCAGGAGCAGCAGGCGGTGAATCAAGGATGGATGTTCTAGGACTATCGCCGGGCCAGAAAGTCCTGGCTGCAGTGCCACCATCAGGTAAGCATCGTTAGTCATCAGTGATGCCAGCTTGGATATCCCTTCCAGAAATGTGGTTTTATTTTGAATAAAACATGTCGATTGAAACATAAAAAAATATGATTTAAAAGTGGTTTTAGCTCTTACTATTCTTAAAATATTTACTCCTAAACATCTTTCTTAAAATAGAGAAGAATGATAATCCTAGCTCTTATGACTCCGTCATTTATGTCGAACAAAAGCTAAGCTATAACTTAATTCGTTTGTTTTTGAAGCCATAAAAATCACTAGGGTCTTGAATTCACCTTATTTCGTTGCTCTCTTATTTCTAAATAATAATTTCTTAACTTTTTTGATCTTGCCAACACTGTTCGCTGCTTGTGACTCCGTTCCTCTATTGCTTTTCCAATTAGCTTTGTTTATCACGCATACGCACTGTGGTCTCTGTTGGAGTGTCAGGTAGAGTGGGATTTTCAAGGGTGGAAGCGGGGAGTATGCCGCCGAGTGGGAATGTCAACGCATTCTTAATTGGTATTTCGTTTTCCACCTTCACTTAGTTTCGCTAGTTCGCAATCTGCGCTTTTCCCATTCCCATTCCCAATTGTATTCCGCAGAGAGCCCGAAAATAACTCAAGTGTCACTGGCTCTAAGCTCACCACGACGCTTCAAGAAGCTGAGAACTAAGCGACGGGGAGCTAAAAATGGGGCAACAAGGGGTTAAGCGGGCGTTTGTGGGTAGTGCGGAAAAACAGTCAAGAGCAGCTGCAGCGAAACGTAGGCACTCAACCGAGCATGAATGCCACTGAATTGTGGACTGTGGCTAAGTAGAAATTGAATATTTATTAAAATAAACTTTGCAAAGCTATATACCAAAATCAAAGAGTAGGGAAAGCCAAGGAAGGGAATTTAACCCTGCCACCCACAAGAAATCTATAAAATTTTAAAAATATTCTGAAGCCAGAATTTACAATCTAGAATCTAGAATTTACAAAACGATATCTCATTTAAGAGATAACAAACTTTCAAAGGTTTCTGTATTTTAAGAATATAAGTAAGATCTAATGTTAAGTATAGAATTTGTTTACAGTTTTCATTCCCATGCTTTCCCTTGTAACCAGTTATTACTGCAGTTTTATCACTTGCTGAGCGTTTTGTGTGACACTATTATCCCACTGCTTCTTCTCTTCTTTCTCGTCATTCTTCTCTTTTTTCTGCTTGTTTTTTCCGCTGTTGCTAGTCGACAATCGCTATATCCGCTTGTTGCCTCTTCCAGTTCCCTTTAGACCAGCCATACCCCTGCCACCCATTTCTTGCCTATATTTGCCATTTTCCTTGCCACACCGTCATACCATCAGACCGCCCCCAGCGAATCCTTACCGCCTGAAACGTTTCCGTTGCAGCGAACGTTGCAAGCGGAATTTGATGTCGCTGGTGTCATTTGTCACGCGTTGTCGCTGCCGTCGTTTGTTTGTTTACCGATGCGTTGCTCCTTGTAGCTGCTTTTGCTGTTGCTCGTCGTCTCATGTTGTCAACATAGATGCAGAGGCATACACTAGCGGAAATAGTAACCAAATTAACCTCTTTATGTATATATTTTTAAGGCAACCATAACACCAATCTGCGGAAAACCGACAAGGGTTAAAATAATAAAACTTATAAAAACTTAAAAACTTATAAAACTTATCATCATCACATGGTCACACTGCGCCAAAGAAGGGGAAATAAAGGTCCTGATGCTTAAACTTAAATATTTGCTTTGCTATTTATTTTAGTATTTTCTGATTTTAAAAAGGGTTTTTGAAGCTCTCAGGCTTTTCATGTCAGTGTACTTTTTTAGTTTTTTACTACCTAAGCGTGAGAGTGTGTTCGTCAAGTTTATTCTTGGCATCATTAAGCGCCGACTACAACACTTAACACATATTGTTGCCATCCACTGGCCGTGCTCCTCCTTGACACCGTCTGCTCGTCCTCTTCCTTTTTCCGCTGCCACTCCACACAATTGAGGATAAGTAGTGCCAAATGCCGGGGAAGCCATTAAAATGCAAATTTCTAGTGGTCACGTGATGATGCTGCAATTCAACTTGGCCCACATAAACATTCAGCGAAAACAAACAGGCCGCGAGAACAACCGAGACTGACACTAACTCAACAGCAGCCACTGCATCATCGGCGACTTTCGCTTTTATACAAAAACAAAAAAGACAGAAGGATTTTAAAAAAACGTTGCCCTCACTTTGTTTTTGGCCTTTCCTCTTTCGTTTTCGCATTTTGCCGCTTTCCATTTTGGCCATCTGACATTTTGGGTCAGTTGTCGCATTTGTTTTCCGCCCGCTGTTGTGTTGTTTTTTGTTGGTTCGCTTCTGTTTTTCAGCCAACTTTCAACTTTAAAATGCGTGATTTATGGCCGAGATGCAGCAATAAACTTTTTTGTGGTGCGTTAAACATGGCGTATGATTAACGTCAACGCGGCGTATGCGTAACGATGGTTTCTGGGGGAAATGGCAGCAGCACTTAGCGACAGCTCAAAGCTGCGGAAAAAAGCATAACGAAACGAAACGAAACGAAAAGTTCTTGGCCAAAGCGATTCTGAACTGCAGTTGGAAATTAGTTTCGAGTGACAAGCGCATAATTCGTACACAACTTAATTAAATAAGTTTGCAATCGCAAAGCGAATGTCGAGGTGAAAAACGATTAAAAATAAACATAAGCTCAAGGATAAAAAACTAAAATGATAAGTTTATAAGGTAGTCTTATAAAATATTTGACGTTTTTGAAAGTTCAGTTTATTAATCTAAAGTTGGTTGGAAGTTGAAGGAACTTAACTCAAGATAAATATTTATAAAATGTATATAGAAATAATCATAAACTGTATTAGAAAGTCATAAATCTTTTCGATTTTAAACAAAGAATAATGACAAGACTCATGCCAAGATGTGTTATAAATCTTATTCCTTAAACCTCTTGAATTACTTTGGCAAAAGTGCATTATTTGTACCTATTGAAACGGAAATTAGAGAGTCATTCAAAAGCTGAATGGGCTTACCTCAATAAAAAAGGAAACCCCTTTTTTGTCAATCATCGGCCTTTTTCCTTCACTTTCCCAGGTGATTGCTAAACAATTTGATTTTGTTCGTTTGGCTTGATGATTGGACAGAAGAAGAACTGTTCTCGTAAATGTTCAATTGATTGCCAGCCGCCTTCGACATAATGCCATTCGAGACCCAGAAATTGTCTAATGACTGCAATTCGAGACGCTTATCAAAGATTCATGTGCGCATTTGCCAATCACCTGCAGAGCGGATCGCATTTCCCGAAGTCACTTTCCGCCCCCCACTTTTCCATTTCCTTTGCCATTTTCTTGTTTTCTGCGGCGATTGCACTTAACTGACAGTAAGTAGCTAGTTGAACTCAAACAAAATGCTTAGCGCACAATCTGAGAACAAAACAGCACTCGAGGAGGCTTCAGATACTCGAGTACTTTGGGGTTTTTAGGATAGGAGGAGGCTGAGAGCTGTGGAGTGTCTTAAAATTAAATTTCTTCCTTAACCAGTCATACTACGAAAAATAAAAGAAATCTTACACTTTGGGAAAGGGGAAATCAAATTTTCAGCTTACTTACGAAATATAACTTAAATATTGATAATGAAATTTAATATGTTTGGTTATTTACATTGATTATTTTGTGGGATAGTGTTTTTGTATATATATTTTTTATGTTTTGAAAGCATTCCAAAGCAAATTGGGGGTTTTAAAAATTAGTTATAGTATATTTCAAAATTATATTCCATACTTTATTTTTATTTATTTTTTTTGGTTTATTTGGTTTTCGACAGCTTCTTACTATTTTTTTTGTTAAATTAAAAAATTATTTATAATTTTAGGACTGAGGTTTATCATTATCTTGAATAAAGATGAATTCATTTTATAATTTGGAATAAAATATTAAATATTATATTTTAAAGAACGGTGTCGTTTTCTGCATATACTCGTATAAAGATAATAGTTTCAAATTTATTATAAACCTTAAATTGAGATATATTTTTAACAACATAGATTACCTTCTTTAGAGTAAAATTTCAATGCTTTGTATTCGTTTCTTGTGATTGCAGGACGGACGAGTTTTTTGCTGTACCAATTAGCCATGGCCATAAATTCAGCCGCCGGGCTGGAAGTGCCGACGGTGCAGGATGTGGAGGTGGTCGATGTGGTGGAGCAGCAAGACCAGGAGCAGTTCCTGCTGGCGAACCCGGATCCCAACTGGCTGGCCGCCATGGCCAATGAGTTTCAGGTGAGAGCAGCCCCTTAGCCTTGGTCCCGGAATCGGTAAGCCAGATAACTCCTGCCAACATAAATCACGCTGTTGTTGCTGCTTAACTTTTTCGATGCTGATGCTTTTTTATTTTAACTTTGCCCCGGATATCTGTCAGAGCCTGTCTGCATTTTGCTGGAGATGGTGGTGTTTTTTGTTGGTGTAGAGAATGTATAGAATTTGGAGGAGCTTCTTCAGGCACGTGACCGCATGGTGGTCACGCTCCAGTGCCACCGGATTTCATTTACAGCCAGCAGGCACGCCACGTCGCTTTCCAGGATTGAAAACAATCAGGCAGCAGCTAAAGATTTATCAGTTCCTTCAACTGCCGTCGAACCGAAGGGCAATAACCGATTAAGACCCGAAACCCAGTTTATCATTAGGTTTGGCCTTCCACCCACTCCAGATAATTGCTGAAGATTAGACATCTTGACGGGCATTGAAATTTCAATTTTGTAAATGATTTTTATGGTTGCTAATGACTTATGGACTATTATCAAGATGAGGAGTCATGAAACGTGAGACATCTGAGTTATGTGTTGTAAATACAAATTTAATATATACTATGTTGACATTGTGTTTAACTTTTTCTCAAAGAAGGCTTTCCCAGCTATAGAAACCAGTTCAAATTTGGATCTCCTTTCCTTATTGATTTTTCCCAAAAAAAAGAACTGCCATTACTAGAAGGATATCTCGTTGGACTTTTATAGCAGCAGTTTGATTGAAAATTCATATTTCCCGTAATAATCACATCATCAACTTGTCAGAAATTGCCTCAAAGCCAAACCAATTTCACTGGCACAGAGATTGCAGCTGAGGCCGAAAAAAGCCTGGATTAAGGCATGCATGGAAAGTTTCTCATTAGCACTTGCATAAAGAGATGGTATCTCTTGGAAAGGATGGCCACAATCTATGCCCTGGTATATGACCATGGTCTATTTTCGTTCCCGGCATATTTTTTGAGGGAGGGTTTTTGGCCAAAAATTTAAATAACTGTCTTTTTCGTCCTCCTTCAGAGAACTTGGACTTGAGAGTCGATATTTTGGTTACCCCATTTGCGAGATTGTTCCATATTGCATTTTTCAATGTTGCTGCTGCTGTGGCTGGTTGTTAGTTCGCTTTGAGACATCTGCTTTCAATTTCGCAGATTGTCTCGCTCAAATAAATGCAAATTTTATGCAAAACAAACGACACTGATAGTGGGAGATATATGGTGGTGGAGCTGGTTGGTTGGGGTGTTTGTCTTGTTTTTTTTAGTTCCTACTGATAAGCTCTTGGGTTGGTTGCTCAGTATTTAAATATTTCATATTGATAAGGAATATCCTTACGGTGGTGCTGTAACTCAGAAAATTCAAGCTTATTTTCTATTTTTGAAAATAAATTTTTAAAATAGGGAATTTTTTTCTTCTAATATTAAAAGCCGTAAACTAAATCTAACTAACTAAATATCTTAGACAATCTACAAGTTCAAGTACAGGCAAAAATAACAGATCAGACGTTTTCTCTTTTTATATCTTGCACCCTTAAATTAAATTTGAGTTTACAAATCCAAGACTAGCTTATTTCTACCAAAGCCTGGATTCAGTTTGATACACTTTCAGAGCCAAAAACCGCTGCTGATTAGGTTGTTGGAAGGTCTATCCAATACAACTACCATTACCACCCTCAGCTTACTTCTGAGGACGAAAAGGAAAAAATACGGAGAATGTCCACTGGGGATTACTTTGCTTAATTCAACTGCAAATGAAAATTGTTTGTTCTGTAAATTCAATCTCTTGGTGTCTTGTTGACGTTGTCATTACGCCGATGTCTGGCTCAGCTGTTTGTCGGAGGCCTTGGGCTTTCACTTGCCACCTCTGCCGACGCCCCCAACCTCCCTCTTAAACTCACCCACCTATCTTTACCATTTACCAGTGAGTTCATCAAAGCGTAATCTGCACAAAATGGCGTCACTTCCTTAGTCGAGGCGTTTTTAGGAAAAAACAACAAGAAAATGGCCGGGAACTTTAAGGCTAACTATGCTGGGGACGCTCTAAGCTTCCGAAGGACCTTCAAGAACCCCCAAAATCCGGGCCCTCCACCCTCTCTGCTCATCTAATGGAGTCATAATTCTTCAGCTCGTTAGCAATACATGCAACGTAAATATGCTTGCGCCGAAAAGTATGCCAGGCATTTCTTTTCGTCCTTTCCACGTTTTTAAGGGCCATACCCTGCAGGCAGCCTGATCGGCTGTGCTAGGGTTGGTCAATGGGTTTGTAACAGCCATGGGTTGGCATCTTCAAGATTAATTGATTTTTAAAGGATGTTAAACGGGGCGTTTTAGTAGAGTAAGAGTTTTGAGTTTACACATGAAAGGGCCTTTACAGGGCCTTGTGTCAAGGAATATGATTTCTAGGAATAAGTTTCTTACTTCTAAAGCTTAACGATATATTTATTGATTTAGTATAATAAATGAATTATAGAAAATATATTTTTTTAATTATTTAATAATCTTTATACTTTTGTTTTTATATTAAACTTATGGGATGAAATATTTGAGATTTGTTTATAGACATTTAAATAATTGGCAATATTAATATGTCAAACTTAAATCAATAGATTTTTCTTTAAAGGGTAGCATATAGCTCCTATAGCTTTACATTTTCTATAGCTACCTCCATCAATTTGTTTTCCATATTCCTTTAGGCGACTTCCTCTTCGCATCTGTGTCTGCAGTGGTGTGTGTGGGTGTGTGTTTGTCTGCCCTCCTTGGTGTGTGTGTTTGTCGGTGTTAAACCTTTTCGCCTTTCGGGAAGCCGTGGGCGGTGGGCGTGAACCAACAGAGCAGCCGCCTTGGCAGTGGCCGCTGGCCTGACAAGTTGCTTAATTGAAAAGTGTTTTGTTTGGCATGCCTAAGGCAAGGCCATGCTTGTTCACTGAGAGTAAAGAAATATATAAAAATTGTACTTTTTAACATCATATTTTACAAAACAACACAACACAAGATATTATTTTTAAAAATTTGTTTGTTTACGACTTAGAAGTAACTCAAATTTCTAAAAGACTCTTAACTGGAAACTAAACTTCTATTCCATTCTCTTAAAGGTGATCATATTTTGAAAATTAAAATATTTATATCTTAAAACTCTTTTTATATTGTTAAACATTTTAAGTTTTTTATCTCTTTTTCATAGTCCATTTTCTATCGAGTTCTTCTATTAAGAAAAAGTGATTTTTCCAGTGCCTTTTAGCTTTTAGGACCTTTGCCCCGACTGCTGATTTGGCAACTTTTACGTTCAATAATTTGCTGCTTATTTATGCGCTCGCTTTAAACCGGGCCAGAAAAGCAACAAAGGACTTCCGCTTTTTTCTACCAAAAAAAGAAGATCCTTCAAGGATTCTGTGATTACGCATGGGGTGGAGAAAAAGTGCCGCATATTTATCACTTTTCCTACTTTTTATTGCTTCCTCTTTCGCCTGTCGCCTCCTCCTTCGTCATAAATAATTATGTTATTTTAGATTCTGTGTTTTTTTTTTATATTTTTTTCCTCCTTCTTGCGTTGAGTTGAGATAAATTGTGGCAATAATTATCGCACATTTTTCACAGCGACATTTTTCAACGACTCTCAGCATGAATTCGGTGACAGTTTTCGTAATTAAGTCGACATGGTGACTTAATGACGCTGCTGCCACGCCCCTCGCATGATAACTGGGCACTTATGTTTATGGGTTTTATGTATTTTTAATTAACTTTGATGTTGATTCGGCAAGATTCTTACCGAGCCCAGTCAAATTAACTTAATCAAAAGCAGTACTCAACTTTGTCTGAAGCAGGACTCCCTCGAAGGACTCTCCAGTCTCTGTGTTTGTTGGTCAGCCCGGTCTTTTGTGTCTCAAGTGTTTGTCTGTCTAATTGGTAAATTTAATTACCCAGCCACCGGTCACCTGTTTGTGTTTCGGTTCTCCTAGCTGCAGTGCGAAATTCCAATTTCTGCTCAAATTTAATAAGCACGCTCCCAGATTTTCGGCTAGCTGGCTAGAATTTATAGACTGACGCTCCTGCGGCTACGCTGCCTTTCGTCCTTAGTTGGCAAACGGAACTTTCGTTTACCTTTTGCTTTAACTCTGACGTTAACGGAAATGCAACACTCTCTCGGACGGTGTGCCACGCCCTGATTTGCGCCCCCAGCCAGTCAACTGAGGCCATTCAAGGGGGTTAGTTTGTAAAGTTTCAATTTCTAGTGTGTGGTTTTCAAAATGGGAATAATGTTAAGACTAAATGTAAATACTTAAATTCGTATATTTTTATATAATTTTAGCATATTTTAGCATATTTATTAGTAATATTTTTTAAATTCTTTGTAACAAAAGGATATGTTGATATAGTAAATGAGATTGAGAAACTTTCGAAACTCCCCCCTTTCGCCATAAAATATATAACATGGCTAAACTGCTTTGGCGCTGTTTACTGCAGTTTTCAATTAAGTTGCCAATGTCCCTCTGCCGACAATTTCCCTGTTCCTCGAACTGCAACTCATCCAGGTGGCTGCTTCCCTTTTTAATTAGTTGACAAACTTGCACATTTTTATCGCCGCTTGTTCGTTCTACCTTTGCTAACTGGCCCCTGTTTGCGCACCCCACTTCCCTCCCCCTTCTCGGTCTATCACTCTCTTATTAATTTCATTTTGCACTTGTAATTGCCAGTATATATCGCATCGCATCGCTCATACGCAGCGTTGCACCGGAAATTAATTTCCGTGCGCTTTCCCAGGAAGAGAAAGAACAAGAAAAAAACGGACTGCCTGGTTGATTCTTGAACAATGTCAAGACCAGCAGGGTCATAAACAAGGAGATAGGATAAAGATACAGGGAGAAATTATGTTAAATTTATTATCTTTTGGTTTTGTTTAAGGAATGTTGCTTATTTGATGTTAACCTTATTTTAGGTAATACTAAGTAAGTAATAATCTATAAAAAATATATACATAAAGCCATTTCAAAGAATTTGTTGCCCATTTCTCACGAATTTGAGATTAAACGAGAGTGGATAGTAACACAAAATTAAACTATATTGCAATATTAATAATTCTTATTTCACATTAATTCTTTAGAAGTTTACCACAAGTTCTTTCTCTCAGTGCTTGTTTATCTCCTTATCCAATATCCAATTCCATTTTCTACTTGCACTCGTGAACGGAAATCTCTAATAATACAGCTCTTGTCTTTGATTCCAGAGTGTGCCAGTGTATGAGACTTTTCCAACGGATTTGCAGAACTGGCTGATGGATGGGTATGGAATCAGTGCCACGGATGTCTACCACAGTTGGACTAGACCGGGATTCGGTAGAAGGAGCAGTACCCGTTCCCAATTGATCTGCACTTCCGATGGACAATGCTACGAGGTCAACAAAATCGTCACCGCCTGCTGTCCATTTTGAGCACCCAATAAATGCATTGAAAACAATCGAAAGGAAATCATAAATTTGTGGCACACACACAGACACAGACAAAGACACACTAGACAGAATCCAATCGACTGCCAGGGAGTTCCGGCATTGTCCGCAATGAGACCATTAAATACCGACGCTCCTGTGGCCGACCACGTGGTCAACGGTCACCAATCGTTGGGTGGGTGCATCTGTTGGTCAGATTCCCAGAATAATGCGAATGGGAATCGTAATCGAAAGCGGGAGCAGCCAACTGCATTGGTCCCTCTGCCTGTTAAGCTTTTTTGTAGTTCGAGTAGTTCAGTTAACTAACAGAGATTTTCCGTCATGCGACCGGGTTCATTATTTCAGCTTTTTTTCCAGGTCTTACAAAAAATGTCTGTTTTCTGGTCGAAAGGGAAATATTTTTATACATAAGAGCATTAAGAAAACTTTATAGGTATTATGGATCCATGAAAAGTTCATGGGTGATTAACATAGTTGATAAATAACATTTTTTTTATCTGTATGTATGGGGTAGTCCTTTGTTAATTACAAAACTGAATGTCAAAATTAAATTAACCTCTTTATAAGGGTTCTTAAAAATCAAAAAGAAATTAAAGGCTTTCGTTTTAATGGATTAAAGAAATAAAAATAATAACTTTTTAAGAGTAGAGAGAGAGTGAGAGTGGGCATTGCATAAAAACTAGAATATATAATCATTCTCGTTAGATTATTGTGAAAACGAAACAGGACGCATTTTCATAACCAAGCTTTAAGTTATTCTAAAAAAATATTCTTTTTATATGACTAAAAAAGGGGATCTAAAAACTAATAGGCATTATTGGAATTTCATTGAAAACATACTAAATTATAATAGAAACTTAGGACATATTATGAATTAGTTTCTGCTTGACCTAGCCAGAAAGTTTTCTTTATATATAAATTGGGTATTTGCACGTCGACCATATCCAAAATGAAACCACTCCCTAGGGGCTTTGAGCTCTTTATGCGTGTCTGCAATCAGCGGCAACGAATGTTTCCATGTACCAAACGCGTGCTAAAACAAAAGGAGGAGAAAAACGCAACAACAAAAGCCGGAAAAGCGGCGGCAACAAGAACAACGGCTGCATCAGGGAGGAAAATCAACATGCAACAGAGAAAACGAGCAGCAGCAACAAATGTCAGTTATTTTCATTTTTTCCACCTTATTTTTTTCGCATTTTGTGTGTGAGAGAGAGAGAGGTTTTTTTTTGGCATCTCCATCGTCTCGCAATTGTTTCGCTGGTAAACAATGTGATTTTCAGCGTGAAATTTCATTCAATCGGCAAGGGTATATGGCTAGATGGCTATATGGCCATAACCCCCTTTCAGCCACACCTCAGTTACCAACTCATTCGACGGCCATTGCTGGGCAATTTGGGTGTGCAAAACAGTGTGTGTGGCCCCAAAAAATATGTCGAGATGTTTTTTGTTTTTAACAAATTCTTTTTTCATTGCATTTTACTTTTGTAGCTGGAAAAATGATTTTTATTTATATATTGTATGAAGGATTTTCAGCCTTTTTCTGGGCAAAATTGCTTTTAATTGATCAAATTGTTTAAATATACGCCATTCATATATGCATATATTTGCTTCCTACGTTTTTTCTTGCTTTGGCTGTTGGCTTGGTACTTTTTATATTTTCAATTAAACTTGTAATGTTTTTGTTTAGTTGTTTATGCTATTGACATTAAAACACATAAAATAACATGTTTATTGCCGCATTTGACATTTTTATTCATTTTTTAGTTACCTTGGCGTAATTGTTTGTATTTTTTATGGTTACAGTGTATTTGCTTATCCTTTTTATTGTAAAAACAGTTTGAGATAAATTAATATTGTTGTTATTATATGGTAATAAAACAGTCTTTACTTTATAAAATAACATTATTAAAAACAAACTGACTCTGACTTTAATTTATTTGTCGATTGCCATTTATTTGACTGTTAAATATTTTGGATTTAATTTATTATTCAGTTAGTTTATTTTGGGTTTCCTTGTCATTTTCATATGCTGGCTGCGTAGATTTCACCAATAAATGCAGACATAAAAGTTGAATAAAAATTAATTTATTTATTTTGCAGAATTTACATTTTTATATTGTGGAGGTGCATAGAAAACGATGAGGTTTCAAGTATCAACAGAGATTATTTTGGGCTTATAAATAATAAATTTAGTCCATAAATAAGGGATAAATTGAAATGATAACTCTAGTTTCTCTTCATAATTGATTTTAAGCATTTCTAAGTCCAAGTAAAAAGTTGTAATTTGGTTATTTAAATAATAAACAAACTAAAAAGTGGGATAAAGTCTTCTTTAATCAATAATACAATTATTTATTATTTTGCCAGCACACACTTTATGTCCAGTTCACATAACTCTCTAGTATAGTTTATAGAAGTTAAAATACCATCTGCACAGCTCTTTATTTAAACTCTGTTGCAATTTAATTAAAGACCGATACCGATTCCAATGGAATATATATATAAATAAGTGAACAGGCAGACACCACCGAAAATATTCGCAAGCATAAATGCCAGCGATTCTCTGGCATTCGTTTGGCAACTCTCCGCCTCCCTCCCTTCGATTTTAAAACTTAGCAAGGGGAGCCAGTAGCAGGAAAATTTGTAAGCTTAAAAGCGATTTTAGTCCTCACATCTCGCATGCCCCGCCATTATGGCAATCTGTCTGAGTGCCCCTGCCACCTATAGAGAGCCTTCATATATCTGCTCGCACATAGCGATATGCATATAGGTAATGCATGTAAACGATATTGCTTCACTCAACTGTCAGGAGGGGTATTAAATAATATTTTACGCTGAGAAGGCTGGGCGTGGCCATGGGCGTCCTCATCATGGCCTGTGACATTTCTGACTGCAGCCTGCCTGGGAATCCCAAAAAAAAAAAATAAAACCGCAACTTTACTGAATGACAGACCGACAGACAAGCAGACATAGATGTCATGTGCAGAATTATGTAACACGGGTGGTATTTAATTTTTTAAGCAAACTTAAATTGTCTGCCAGCTTTTGGGAAAATCTGCATTCAGCATTAAGCATGTGCATAAATGGTTGCATACTTTGTGGTGCTTTGGATGAAGCTCCTCATGGATTTGATTACATTTTGGCTTGGTAGCCTAAACCCAGTTTTAGGTTTGGAAAGAGATAGTAGGGTTTCAAGGGTACTTTTAGATAGTGTGTACTATGTTAAGGATGTTCAAGTTATTAAAAATAACTTACTGTTAGGGGTCATTAGTGCAGTTTCGTTTGACTTTGGCATAAATACTATTTTCAACAAAGATTCTGGGAAGATAAACTATTTTGACTTCATTTTTTACAAGTAAATAACTGGAAAAAAACTTCTCTTAAATCAAATACAATATTTAAGAATATTTTATATACTTTTTGCTTTATTATCTTTTGCTTTAACATCGTTTTCTGTGAGATTTAATATCTCCAGCCCAACCCAAAAATGTTTGTTGAAAAGATATTCATCAGCAGAAAAGCTTTTCAGCCCCTATTTTACTTAATAATTTTGGCATTTCTTTAAGGCTCGGTAACACAAACAGTTCCATTAGTCCCTATGTATTTATCAGCAATTTGATAGTTGACTAAATTTATAAGGAATGGATTGAAGAAAGCACTTAGATATGAAATTTGAGAAGTTTTCTCGACCATGCCCCTTCGTTTCATGTTGAACAAACAAAAGGCCCGAAGGTTTTTGTCCCTTTGGGGAACTTTCACCTGCTGACGACACGAACGTGTCCAAAATGCGGGCTTCAATAATTTGAGGTGAGTTTATTATGCAGATAAACAAAATGGGCGCCACCCGATTTTTGCCAACTCAGCATTAAGTTTTGCCACCTCACTCACATACACTCGCAAATGGATATGAGGCCAAGAGCCTTTGGGCCATGGTCAACAATTGCCGGCAATCATCTAGGCAGTTACCTTATTACAACAACAACAATGTGGCGGAGGGGGGATATAATAGAGTGGAAGGGGCAACTTTGGCCATAACGGGAGTTATCTGTCTGTAAATACATAATCTGCTGGCTGGTCCAAAGTGAACCCGTCGACGTTGCAGCTTTCTGGTTCCCAAAAGATTTCAGCCTGGCTTGTGCACCTTGAATACGGATTTACTTTTATTGCCACAGCTTCCTGTTGCCCACTTTTGTGCACTGAAAGAAACAACTTGGCCCAAGAAAGTAATATAAATAATTTTGTAAATATTTTAAGAAAGAAAAAGAAAAGTTAAGAAAAGGTCACTCCTTTCTAAAAATGCTAAAAAATTTAAATAATCAGAAGATCTTCTACAACGTGTCCTGAATTTTTTCAGTGTTCTTTCTTTCGTCCTTATTTTTGTTGTGGGTTCCGCTTTTAGGGTTAAGCAGGTGCTTTATAAACCAAGCATCCAGGCGGGCGGCCTCTAACGGTAAATAAGGACAAATACCACGTAATGGGCAACCTGTGCGTGGCTGAAGTCCCATCGAGAAAAACTAGAGGGACAGAATCCCTTTACTCCTGGATTCTTATTTCTTAAGGGAAAGTTGGAGAGGGAAGACTATGTTAGGCTGTAAAATTTTCACCTTTAAATGTGTCCCCTAAGCGCAATCAAAGGATCCTTGTCAGTCACATTTGTTTTGTTTTTGTGGCGGAGGTGAAGATGGAAACTTGTCGCCTTAATATTGCTTCCATATTCATAATTACTTAAGCGGCGATGTCAAGTCTGCCGACATCTTTAGTGGGTCGTGAAATATTTATTAAGTGGCCGGAGCGTAGTGGAGTTTGGGAAATACTTTTGCCATAAATTTGACGCAATTGCGTTGCTTTGGATTTCAAATTCAGAACAAAGTTCTTACGGCTTATTAAAGTCGAAAGTTTTTGATAGTTTCGGCTATGTGAAAGCTGGTTTTAAGAGGCGATTAGCTTGTGTGTTGAACTTTATAAATTAAATGAGACTTTAAAGTTTTTAATTGCAGAAATGTAATTAGTCTACGGATGGGGTTTAAGGGGATTTCAAAGTTGAAAATATGAGGGGACTATAATACTACATAAACAATAGTTTTAAGTGAACTACCTATCTTATTTAAGTTTTCTTCAAAGGAAGGCCTTTGATTTAAATTGGTTTAACTTATTATTACTTGCCTTAAAAGTCCGAAAACACTTACAGTTTAAGACACATAGTTACTAGCCCCCTAAAAATCATCCTAAAAGGTCTTAAATATTGAAGTAAACTATATAAAAATATTAGTCTCCCTTTCTTAAAATAAATAAATAGCCACAGATCCCCATAAATTCAATGAGTACCCTTCGTCCAACTAGTCAAATATCAACTATAACTCACCACAAAGCAAATATAAATTGCCTTACATAATCCACACCAGCACAACGCTACCAAGGACTAAGGCCACCAAAATCACATAACTCATATATATATATATAACATATATGGGACACACATGAGCAAACGTGAAAGACAAACAGAAAACATGGTGAAACTAGAGGGAAAGCCCCGTCCGACATATTGAAATTCATAACTACATACAGAAACCAATTACAATATCAATTTAAAAGGGATTAAAATGGCCCGGCCGGAGGCTTAAGCGGCTCCTGACACCACTCTCTCGGCTCCTAAAACTGCCACTCCGTTGCCCGTTGTTTGGCCATGGTCAAAATGCGGCGTATTTAAGATTTGTTCCCTTGTAAAATTTGTGAAATTGCAAATTGTATTTGCTTGAGCCGTGCTTGGGAGACCCCAAGCCGTGGACCCCAAAAACTTTTAAATGAAATTCTGAGCTGGCAGATTTTCATAATAAATAACTGGTCTTACACAAGCATAATCAGCCATAATGCCATTGTGTAATGTCAAAATATATTGTATTGACTCAAAAGCTGGGATGAGATTCTCAACAAGTGGCAATCCATCTCTGCTCTTCCTCAGACTTGGTAGTGTGTATTTTTGCATAATTTATCTTGTTTGCTTGTTAAATCAAAAATGGTATACACAAAAGACCGCAGTATTGACGGCATTCGACCGGGCCAAGATGCAATTTGGCTAAGTAAAGATGCAGATAGAGTGCAGTCTGTTGGAGTGCAAATAGACAAAAAAATATTAAGCTAAATGCAGACGCTGGCTAAGCAGCTCGTATACATTAAATTTAAACGCTCGACTAAGCGATTTAATTTGGAAAGTGGCAAAAAAGCTGGCCCAATCTTTCATCGTCCAGGGATCACTTCTTCTGCTCCTTCCTTTTTCTTCATCCAATCATCGATTCGTCCATCCATCATGTCTATCAATGCCTGGGTCTTAGCCATGAGACAGATAAATCAGTTAAGCATCGTCATGTCAAGTTAACAGGCGATTACAAGGGCTTTACCTGACCAGATACGTGGCTAAAGACCATTGCGAAGGGTCAGCTGGATTCGAGAGAATGTTTCTGTAGAAAAGGTTTTCTGGGAAATCGCCGATTCTTATGCTTTCCCAATTAAAATTTTAACTAAGAGTTAAATATTAGTTTAAAATTAAGAAAATATGTTAAGCAAAGTAAGTTTACTTCTTACTTCTAAAAACTATTTATATGAACTTTTAACTACCTCTTCACTCCAAGTTCTTGTTTTCTTAATTACAGTATAATAAGCTATCAGCAAAGCAGTATAAATCTAGCAATTTAGCTTCTTACTTCCTTAAAGTACTTGTTATGTACACTTGTAGAAAAACCTTTGAGTGCCAATTAAGTTAAGCAGATTTTGGTAACCCAACGCCAGACCAATGCCTCAAATTAACCGGCGATTACAAAAGGCTTTCACCATGTATATGTATTGGGATATTCGATAACCAATCGAGTGTAGGCAACGCAACAAGCAAATGACAATTGAAAGGATAACAAGAAGGACAAGAGGGACTCAGGCCCGCAGACCTCTGCTTGTTGATAAAAGAAATTAAACAGACAACGTAGAAAAGAAAGAAAAAACAGAGAGGAAACACAGAAATAAAGGAAAGTTAAGCCCCCAAGACAATTGACAATGGGTGGGCCGGAAAATGGTTAAAATGCGAGGAGGGGAGAGGGTGAGGTCCTCTTGGCTGGGGATCTGCGGCATTTGTCTCGACTGTCTCGTTGACATGACGTTGCGCGAATTGTACGCCAGGATTGTTGTGCGTTCTGTATGCTGTGTTTTTGGTTTGCCAGTCGTCTGCCTACAAAGTGAGCAACACGCGCCGATGATTATGTTGCCGCTGACAACGACAACAACCACAGCAGCAACACCAGCAGTAGCAGCAACAGCAACACCAGCAATAGCAACAGCAACATCAGCAACAGACTTCTCCGAAAACGAAGTCATTTTCGGACTTCAGTTGGCGGTAAATGTTGTGTGGCACGAAGCTTTTCATTGACTAAAAGTGACGCATGCGCGGTTGCAGGACCAACTTAGACTCCGATTTAGTTTCAGTCCTCCGTCCTCAGTTTCAGTTCGTTTTTGTCACTCGTGCCAGCTGGATGGCACACGCGGCGTATGATTAATATTGGTCTTGGTCTTCTAAGACTGTTTTATTGGATTTTGGCGCAAGAAGGCAAAAAAGCCGGCTAAAGTGTCCCCCGTGGGTGTGTGTGTGCACGTGTTGCCGGAAATACTTTGAGCAATCGAAACGAAGCTGAAACAAAAGCCTAAGCAAATTAACTTGGCCCATTCGTTATATTGCGAGCATTGTTCTAGTGGTTATTATGTTTGGTTTTTTGCCCAGCCCCCTGCCAGCACGAAAGTAGGTTAATTGACGTGTGTTGTGGGCGTATCTACAAGGAAAATAATAAAACAGGAAAAAAACAGCGTACCTACATGTATAAAAACAACTACAAGAGCAGCAAGTGAAGTGGTCAATTGCCCACAGCCCGAGGCCTCTGAACCCTCTCGATAAAATAAAGGAGTGTGAGCAGAAAGTCAAGCTAATTTAAGGTATGTCAAACAATGGCTTTTGTGTTTTAATTTATATAAAAAATAATTATTCTAAAAATATATACGTTTAATCAACGTTGGCCGCTGTGTTAATGGGTTTATTTTGATGTTTATTGCATTGGCTGGAAATAAATTTACATAATTCGCCTATAAAAGAGTTTCAATGCATTAGCAAAATATCTATTGTTTTTAGTTGAATGAATTTTATGCTGATAATTTGTTTTCCTGTTGGCTTGTTTTAATTAGATTTTGATGCGAGTGAGCGAAGTGCAAAATTTGAATCAATTGTCAATTTAGTGAATAGCTTAAAAGGTAATTTTGTTTATGATTAATAAAGAAGTGTATCGATAATTCTTTTTGAAAAAGCAATTCAGCCAAACGAAAAATTATCAGTTAGATTTAGCCTTTAACTCATTTTCTAATTTATTTTAGAAAATCTGCCAACATTTCCCTTTTGTTTCTTCAAATGTGAGCTTCTTAATTAAAAATTTATTTTTAAAAAATAAAAACAAACATTTGGCTTGACACTGTAACTTTTCTAATTACCCTTCAAAAAAACACCAAAACTTTTCATATATTGTCGCATTGACACTGCAGCAAACATGAAAAATAAAATATAATACAAAGGGGAATTCCATTGCATAACCAGAAATAAACATATGCAAAATAAACTTCAAACAAATGTCGTCGCCCAGACTTTTGGGCCTTCAGAACTAACACAAAAAAGGATAAAAAACAGAACCGAAAAAAAAACTGAAAATAAACAAAGTGAGCATCGTGGGGAAGTGGCTTCATGGGTCGGTTGCGTTTCGGTGCCTTAAAGGCAACTTTGTTGCACAAATTTATTAATTTTTTTCCACTAAGTTTGTGTGTGTGCGGTGTATGTGTGTGTGTGTGTGAGCTGGGGGTGTGTGTCAAATCTAAAAGCATTCTTGCCAGTTGCCTTTGGACGGGCGATGTCCTGGCAGCTGGCTCTTTGTTTTATTATTTTGCGGAAGCTGCGAACCAACATTTATAAAAAGGTTTTCCTTGCTCGTCCTGCTACGTGAGCCACACACACACAGCAACACACACAACAAACATACCCACACACCCACAACGCACATTGCTCTGCATTACCGTTATTTTATGACGGAAGTACATTTAAGCAGATTTTTTCTCACAGAACTCCCGCTCCTTTCAACCGAACTGGAAAAAAGGGCTGCCGAAAAAAAGAACACCCAACAAAATGGGAGACCGAGGAAATTTAAATATTTTCTTTTACGCTGTGCTTTTCATTTACCCGTCTCGCTAAAATTTATGACCAACAAAATTGGAATATGCCCCAAAACAACAGCGGCAACAATAAAGCCAAAACAAAGTTCCCTTCGATTGCCATAAAAAAATATAAAACCAAATTGGTAGGGACCTTCAAGGCCAATACTTTCGATTAAAAATACCTATCAGGGACTCTATAAGACATAGAATAAAGGTTAGATATGTCTTACATTTTGGGCTAAGAAAAATTTTCACTTATTACATAGCTTGAATTCCATATCCTCTGGACTGCATCCAGATATTTTTGATATTTACCCAAGACTCTCTTAGGTTCTCTTCTGTAAGATTTAAAAGGTCTCAGTATTTATAGCACATTCCTGAAAATGTTATTGATTGGCGTTATTTAATGATTCCTATTTAAGCAATAATAAAAATAAGTTGGCAGATTGAAAATGATACAGATACTTCCAAACAAGCCATCATCAATTGCCATCTAATTTTCAAACTCATAAAGTTAGAAAAACGAAACCTTAAACCAGATACTTTTTAAATTCACTGCTCGACTTGAAAGCCACATATTTCATTAATTGAAATTTAATACAATTACCCGGCGAATGTGTGAAAAGCCAAGTAAAAGTCAGCAGCCAAAACACACATAAATTCAAGTCATACACACACACTCACTCGCTGTTGTTGGGAAACTCAAGAGAGAGAGAGAGGTATTCCTTGGCAAGTAAGTGACTCAATAAATAAATTTACTTGCCAACTTTCTGCCTTGTTGTTGTGGCCTTGGGGGACTGATTGTTGCTTTCTCAAGGTAGATTTGTGTCGGCAGAAGCTCTCTACGGCGAAAGATCTGAGAAATACTGTGGTCGCAATAAACAACACTTGATCGCGGGGCGGAGGGGGCACAAAGTTAAGTGTGCTTTACGGGGCCAAGTGAAATAAATTTCAAGAATTTAACTAGATAAATGGGGAAGTGTTGAGAAATTCTTACCAAACGCCTTTCAATGGTCCTCGTATATATATAAGAAATTGTGGTGAAAAGTTGAGATTTTTTGAAATTATTAAGTTTATTTGCTGAATCTTATGTATGCTGTATATAGATAGTATTTTAACATCTACCAATATCCACCAAATATTTATAAATTTAAAGTTGTGTTCCCAAAGACAGTTTTTCCTTAACTTAATTTAAAACCTGAAGCTCAAATTGTTATTTCAGATTTTAAATCCTCTATGAGAGTATTAGCAGGCGTACCAAAAACCGTTTTAAATTTAATTCCCGCACTTTTCACTTATTTTCCATGAGCCACTTTAAGCTGTGACTTATTTCAAGCTGTGCATTATGATCTAATCTTAGCCGGGGGTCGTTAAACAGAATCCTCAAGAATGCGAACTTGAATTTGCACAGCATTAGCAAAGACTAGAGGGGAAAAACATAAAAAGAAAAGAAAAGAATAAGTACAAGAAAATAGCGTAGCTGGGACATTTATTAAGTAAGTGAGCTATTCAAAATCAAAGCGGCGGAAAAATCAGCGTTGCCGAGGGGCGAATGGTGCGAATGTGGCTGAGTGTGTCGACCGATTGTCAGGCGAATGTCAAGCTCAACCTGCAGGCAACTTTTCAGCTTGTCCCACGTCTCTCGTTTCGGCCTCGTTTTCCCCCACTTTTCCCGCAGATCTCCATGGAACGTTCACCTGCACCTGCAACAATGTGCAGACATTTATGGCACCAGATGCCGCCGGCAGCAGGCAAATGCCTTGCCATCCTTGAGTGGCATTGCGAAGGCATTTCCATAGCATTTCCGTGGTACGTTTGCCGGAGCGTTGAAAGCGCATTAGCTTTGTCATTTATCGTTGCATACTATCCGCCATCTTTGTTACCAATTCCAAGGGACTCCAACAACAACTCCAACTCCAACAGTGGTTTAAAAAGGATTTATTGAAAGGAATGTGAAAAGTTAAGGCTGATCCTTTAGATTTGACTACAATTTATTTTCCTCTTCATTTATCTATTCCGTAGTATAGGTTATTAAATATTTTTGAAGAAAAAATGTATAATTTCATTCACATTTCGACATTAACAATATTTAATACATCATCAGCACTTAACAATATTGTAATCTGGATCTTAACAGGAGGATTTTTAATCTTAAAATATCCTTACATATTTTTTTTCGTATTTCTTTCTTTTTTTGTATTTATCATAGAAAACTTGTATGGATTTACATTTATCTTTAGTTTATTTTTTAAAAGTAACCTATATATATTTATTTTATGTTAAGATTTGCTTATGTTTTTCTTAAACTTAACGCTGAAAGTTATTTAGTTTCCATCAACCTATCGCATACAGCCTTCCCTGGGTAAATCCCCAAAAATTAAATTTACCTTCTTCAAAAATTGGCTCCAGGTTACGCCCCTGTTCTTAATAAACACGTTTGCATATACATTCAATATGCATTCGAGGGCGTTCCTTTGTGTCGTCGCTGTTGATGATGTGTGCTGGCATATTGTGCTTATCAAAGTGCCACTGACAGACAGCCGACCGAGCAGAATGTTGGTTTTGGTCTCTGGGAAATGTCAAGGTTCCACATGCTTCGTTAGCTGCATTTTCATAATGTATCAAGGCAATTGGCCTGTAGCGTGGCCTTAATTAAAGGCTTGAATTTTCAATTTTCAATTTTCAGGCATTCTAAAATTTTTTGCGTTCTTGTATATGGACAAAGGGACTATCCTTTCGGCGTTTCACCTGTCGCTCCGCTTTGTGCATAAAAAGTGTGAACAATTTTATTGTGTGGAAAATTTGCTTGCTCACATGAGAGCTGGTAAAAAAAACCTCGTGCATAATTTAAGAGTGCCCGCATCACTCATACGCAGCGTTGTACGCTTCTTGTGGCCAGAATATTCGGTGGCAAGCGGCCAAGGTAACAATGGAAAGGTCGTAGTAGGAGTTTGTCTGCCTCTTTGTTAGCTTTTGGTTTCCCATTTTTAGTTTAGTCATTGTTTGTTTAAACTCCTCCTTTTTTATGCTTGCTTACCTCTTCGGATTGCTGGAGGGAATTTATAGAAATGTGTCAATTTGTGGTTTGCAGAAAGTTTTTGATATGACTATGAATCATTGCAAGTTGATGGAGTGGAAAATATTAATGTCAATTCATCATCGTCTTTGCATCAATAAAGGTTCGATCATAGTTTTAAGAGTCTTATGGCTATTTCCCCAGATAATTGTCGAATAAATTATTTTTTCAATGCTTACTTTATTTAAGAGCACACCATAGTTTTGGTCAACTAATCCGTCTGAAAATTCTTAAATCCTCTTTTTGGCCCCAGACCAAATCCTATTCAATTGCCAACGAATCCCCGAGTGCTGCCTGACAATTAAAACGCCCCGAAAAGAGGGAAATGCGAGTGGCTGGGGCCACAGCCCCACTTGAATGCAGCTAACCATGAAAGCGCGTTAAAAAAGCACTGCATGCACATGGCCGTTTTGTAGGTTCCACAAACCCCTTCCGAAACCCCACTTCCCCATCAAATATGCATGTAAAACACCGCACAGCGGGCAGAATGGAGCAGGAGAGCAGCTCAACAATTTCGCCTGCGGACAAGGTCCGGCAAAAAATCGAGAAAAAATATAAATCTTAAATGCCTTGACATGTGTTCACCGAAAAAAGCTGAAGCTTATAAAAAAATCAAAAGGCGAAAGGTAAACTGAAACTCCAAATACTCTTGCAGATTATGGAGCAG